TTTGTCCATCTGTTGCAGTGCTTTATATAGCCACAATAATCGTTCCATTATTTCCACTTCATTTTGATTTTTTCTTGGAATAGTTTGTTTTGTTGATATTGTTGTTTCTTCTGTGAGTATTTCTCGTGTATTTTCTGGAGTACTTTTTATATTTTTCTCCATGGATTTGCTTTCGTCGGTTATTATCGTATTTTCAAATCTGAATGCAAAAAAAAAAAAAAAAAAAATTATCTTGAAATTTTACATTATTAAAGATGAAATGGTTAAATATTGAGCTATTTGATAAAATATTAATATTTCTAAGATCTGAAAATTTGGAAAAATGTTTCTTACTTTTTTAAATTCTCTGCAGTAACAGTTTCATTAACTTTATTGCTTTTTACATTCGGGAATGGTTTAGCTTCAGTGATCATTTTATGTCGAAGTAAAAGTAATTGCCATATTGGTATTGGCGTTTTTGGCTCTATTTCTGGCAATCTCGTAATTTGCGATGTTTCTTGTTGGTTCTAAAATTTTTCATTTTAATTTAGAGCTTTTAATCATTTGCTAAATCATTTCTTTGATTTCATTAACAATGTGCCAATCTATTTCTAAATCTATTGAACATCAATCAAATCAAAAATCTTTTTACATCTTTGATAAATTAGCTTTTTATATATAATAGCTGCTAATTTAATCGATAAAGCATTATTTGCTTAGTGATTTTTTGCAATGGCTCATTAAATAAAACTACAAAATTCTATTGTAATCATTTAGATTTAATACATACAGTATGATTTGTAGCTAAATTTGAATTTGTTGTTACAGCATTATCACTTTCCCACTTATTATCTTCATCAATAATTGTTGTATTTAAAATTCCGTATTGTGTATCACATATTGCTGTCGCATAGCATCGTGAAATCATCTATGAAACAAAATTGATAACAAAAACTATGATGGTAAAAATATACTGCTAAAATTTCAATTATTTTAAATAATTCAATAATTTATTCTGCCATTTCATCCAAAATATTTACTACAGTGCAGCAATTATCATTAACTAAACCTAACTTTCATTTCTAAAAAAGAAAAGAAAAATGAAATTTCCAAATATTTACTACAATAAAACAATATAGCAATGTTAGCTGTATAAAATAAAAGTAAACAAAATTGATTGAATTTATCCCACTTATTGAGTTTTTGAAATTTTTTGAAAAATAACTTTTTCTTTTTTTTTGAAATAACTTTTTGAAAAATAACTTTTTCTTTTTTTTAAAAAAAAAAAGAAAGTAAAACCTGTCGAATGTAGCTTTTAGTTTTGTATGGATCATTTTGATATTGCATAAGGAATGAGTTAAATGCGGAATTATTTTTGCAGTAGGTTAAATCAGCTACATTTTCACATCGAAATTTTAGTATTTCACCTGAGAATTAATAATAATGAATTAATTGGTAGTGAAATAAATATTTTTAAATTATTTGTTAGCTACTAAAATTTACAGATTTATATTAGCATCAATTATAAATTAGTTTTTGTAATGCATGCATCCTAAATATTTTTCATCTAATTTTAGTAAATCAATTCAATTTCCATAATTATTTATTTATATTATTTGTATCGTATGAAAATGTATAAAAATAAAAAATCTATGTCAATTTCAATATCATATCATAATACTACTTTTGATAATAAAAAGATATAATAGTAATTCTTTCATTAATTAATTTTATTTTCGATCGTTTCGTTTATTTTATTTATATTACTAATTGCATCCATCTGAAATATGCAAAAATATTTTCCTCTATCTTAAATCACTAAATCAAAAATAAAATGAAAGAATTGATACCTTGTTCATAGCAATAATTAAAACACATTGTACCAAAACCAATTTGTTGACAAATATTTTTTTCGATTTGATAAATATTTGCGCATGTTTTTTTATACTAAAATAAAATTAAAAAGTAGGAAAAAGAAATTTTTTTTCTCTGATAATAGAAGAAAAAAGGTCAAAGGCAAAAGATATAATCTTGAAAAGTTTTTCATTTAAATGATTAACCTTAAAATTAGAGCCAACAGGTTCACTTGCACCAACTTGTGGTAGAATCCATGTTTTATCAATAGTTGAAATAAGTCTGTTCAATTTTTCAACATCCAAAGTTTTAGCATTTATTGGATTTAAATTTGAAAATGGTTCGTCAACATCAATGATTTGCTTCAGTGATTCCTCATTATTTTGATTAAACTGACCTGTAAAAAAAAAAAAAAAATCATTGAATTGACCTATAAAAATATCATAGTTTAACTGAAATGCTAAATAAATAAAAGTATTAAATTTTTTTAAGTTGAATAACAGCACTAATAATAATGATAACAATGAAGGTGACAATAATAATAATAATAATAATAATAATAATAATAATAATAATAATAATAATAATAATAATAATAATAATAATAATAATAATAATAATAATAATAATAATAATAATAATAACAGTAACAATAATAATGATACTAATGGTAATAATATGAATGTTAATAATAATAATAAAATATTAATAAATAAGAAAACTAACAATAAATACGACAAACCTTCAGCTAATTGAGATATAAAAAAGAATGAGCAAAATAAGTTCAGCAACACTGATAAAATAAGCTTCATAATCTAAATTTCATTAAATTTTTAAAAAAAAAATTGAAAAAAATATTCGAAATTTTATTTATATTTTGACATATTGATTTTTTTTTTCCAAGCGAATTAAAACGTTTAATTAATTACTCAAACACGGAATTATCTATTATTTAACTTGAAAATATGCTTTTCAAAATAGTCGAAAATAAACTTATTTAATTAATTAGCAACAATAATATATTGTACGATTACACTGAAAATTTTTTAAAAATTTAAAAAAATATTTTTTAAAAAATTATTTTAAAATAAAATATTCCATATTTATTTACTTATTAAAGCTGAATGTTGCATTTTCAATGTATTCTATAGTGTTAAAATTAATTTGTTTAGCATTAAAGCATAAATTTGTCAAAGATTTTTTGTTTTCATTGATAGAAAAGGAAAGTAAAACATTTTGAATAAAAAATTATGAATAAAAAATTATTTTTTAGATATAAATTAAAAAAATAAAAAATAAAAATTATTATAAGCAATTGAAATAATTGTAAACAATTTAACATATTTAAATTTTAGAAGCAAAGATAATTTTTTCTTTTTTTTAAAAAAAACGTTCAGAAAAAGTTTAAAAGAATAAATTTTGACATATTTATAATATAACCAAACTATTTTTAATAACTGTTTGTAATTATTAAAACTTATCATATTGATGATAACTGAAGTTTTTTAATTTTAATCAGATTTAAAATTTATTAATAAAATCAAAAAAAAAAAGTAAATAAAAATAAAAAACTATCAATTCAAAATTATTTTAAAGCAAAATATCTATTGCTATTTGGCAAATTGTGGAACAAAAAAATGAAATGAACAACAAAAAAAGTTTAATTTTTAATTCTAATTCTAATAAAATTAGTACCTTCTAAATCATTCTACGAAATTTGAAGCGGAATTAAATAAAAAAGAAACTTTTGATGGAAAAAAAAAATTTACTAATTTAAACAGAAATGTAAAATATAAAAATAATACCATTCTATCGTTTAGTTTGTTTAATTTAAATACAATTTGTGTTAAATGGTTATTTAGCTCATTGGAGAATTTCAATGTTTAAAGAGGAATAACTGTCACGATTAGCAAACTTAAAAATGAATTTAAAAACCTGTACAGAAATAATTCAAAAATTGTTTGAATTAACAAATTATACTATTATATAAAATTATATTACAAAAAAAAAAAATAACGAAAAAAATTCAATTTAACAATTTACAATTGTTAAATTAAAAAAAAAAAAAAAAAATTCTTTTTCCTTTATTCCTTTTCACCTAAAAAATTGAAAGTAACTTGAAAATGAGCAATAAATTATTTCCATATGAAAAAATTTTAATTTGGTCAAAAAATAAACGAAAATTTTATTTTTGTTTAATGAATTTCAAAATAAGAACAAACATTTTTTGCTTGCGAAATAAATTTTGATTTAATTTATTGTATTATTTAACAATTAGCTCTTAATAAATTATGCTAAATTTATTAAATAAATTTCAAATCAAACTGATTTTTTAAATTTGATTAGACAGTTTTGAAGATTTAATTCTTTTCATTTTTAATTTTTCAGATTATTTTGCAAACATCCAATTATGTCACATTGAATGTTAAAAAAATAGATGCATTTTTTTCTGATGCAAATGAAATTATTTAAATTTTAAGTTCCAATAAAAAATATTAATTCTTAAATTGTTTAATGAATTTTAAAACTTTTTATGACTTTTTACTTTTTTCGTTTTGTTTTTTTTATGACAAAAAATTTTCTTTTTCTTTTAATAATTTATTCTAATTAGTGACTCAATCTATTTAGAAATTAACAAAATTTTATAAACAATTTTCTAGAGCTCTCAGTTGCATTTTTTTTTTTTGAATAAATACTTTAATGCTTTCTTTTTTGTTATTTTTTTGCAAATTTTTTACAAAAGTTAAACAAAATAAATGGAAAAAATCAATTCTAATTCCATTTCGAATTATTTCAATCAATTTTTCAAAATTATTATTTTATTCTTTTTTTACATTTTTTAATTATATTATATTTGGTCTTTCAATAATTTATATTTTGTTATTTTTTTTTGCATCCTATCATTGTTATACTTAAATAACTATTTGACAGTTATCAATGAAATGAAATGAATGACCTAATTCATTTTGACCTAAATAACTATATAATTAGATGATATCAGATTTAACAGTTTAACCCTATTAAAACTGTTATCATTTCAAATTTCTTCTTTGCCTCGTCTCTTCTCTCTCCCTCTCTCTCTCTTAAATTTTATTTCATTTTGTTATTTATTGTTTTTTCTTTTCTTAGTTCTTCTCGATTATTTATTTGCTTATAATTTGCTAATAATGATTACTGCTGATAAGTATGATAATTCATTGTACAAATTTCTTGGCATCGCTTTACTTATCATTCAACAAACATGGTAAATTTTTTTTTAATATATTTTAAAAATTTGTATAAGTTTTGTTCAAAAAACAAAATTTGCATTTACAAAAAAAAAAATTCATTCATTAATTAATTTTTAATTTAAATTTTTTAAAAAAAAATTAACAGTAACAATAATAATAAATGGAAAGGTTGTTTGGCATTTATGAAATGATCTAATGAGTAAAACTTTAGCAATTAATTTAATAAACAATCAATTAAAATTATGCAATTTAATACAGGAAAGATAAATGATTAATAAGAAAATAGACTTAGTTGTTTGTTAATTGAATAAATAAATATTTCTTACAATTTAAATTTTGCACTGTTAAATTTAAAATAAATTAATTAATTTATTCATTCAACTGTTACAGTATACTATTGTTGACTATTACAGTATACCATTGTTGACTGTTACAGTATGCCATTGTTGACTATTACAGTATGCCATTGTTGTCATATTCAACACAGTATCGTATCACCGACGAAAGATTTCTTACAACAGTAACTGTACTTATTGGAGAAATAGTGAAATTTCTAATTGCTTCAGTTATAATTATTTTAAATGAAAAATCATTCAAGAAGTAATTATTTCCTTTAATCTTTTCTCTTTTTTCCATTGAATAAAAATTTAAATTTTAAAATTAATAAAAATTAACTTATGATGATTTTAAGAAATAATAGTTTATTCGTACTTGGAATTTTTTTGAATATATAATAAATTTATCCTATAATTTCTTCTAATCTTTATTTTTTTTTTAAATTTTAAATCTTAAAGTTAGCATAAATTGGTTTATATTAACGCGATGATAGTTTGCAATAGTTTATTCGTATTTTTTAAAAAAAAAATTTTCTTTTTATCATTCATCGAATATGCAAATTTATCAGTGATTTTCTTCAGGTACCTTTCATCTTGCTATAATATTATCATTGGTAATTATAGTGAAACGCTTAAAATATGTTTAATAGCTGTAATTTATGCAATTCAAAATAATTTATATTATATTGCATTTACACATTTGGAACCAACAACATACTGTGTATGACTTACAGTACATTCATTTTTTAATTTTCAAAATATTTCCAATTATTTACTATAATCCATTTAAAAGTGTTTTCAAAACAATTATGTATTAATTATTGGAAATTAATTATAAGAGCAGAAAAGAACAAAAAATTATACCTTTATAATTATTAATGTATTTACAGTGTATAGCAAAATTTTATTATTAATTGATTAAATAATTTCGATTTAATAGTATGAAAAAATTTAGCTCATAGAATGAAAAATAAAAAAATGAAATTCACTTAATTTTACTTTACAAATAAAATGATATATGCATAGTTTTTATAATTAGCGTAATAAGTTCAATTTTAAGCTATTATTAGTTTTTAAAATATAACTTGTTTGAATTTTTCAATTATTAGTTTCAAAAATGTAAAAATTATAGCTATAATTTGATTAATTATTTTAATGTAATTTCAAGCTCATTTATGAACTATGATTTCCTCTTTGCCAAAATTTGTCTCAAAAAGAATAAAACTAAAATAAAAACATTGTAAAGTAATTCTTTCTATTAAAACCAAAAAAAAAATCCCATTTTTTAAAAATAAAAACGAATGAACAGAAATGAAAAAATTTATAAAATAGTAATAAATAACTTATCTTAGTGATAAAAAATCATTAATAAATGGTAGATAGCATTAATTAGTAAAGAATAATTATTTCAATATATTATTATTATCATTATTTGTATTCATTACAAATCCAACATTAATTATTATTATTATTATTATTATTATTATTATTATTATTATTATTATTATTTTATTATTATTATTATTATTATCATTATCATTATTATTACTGTCGTAAAAAAAAAATTATTAATATCAATTTTTTAAATTTCAGTTAACACATCAAATTAAAATATTTATTACCGCTTTAATGCTTTGGATAATGCTTGGCCATCATTTTTCATGGCAACAATGGTTTGCACTGATTTTATTAGCTATTGGAATAGCTAATATTCAAATGCAGCATATTCCATCTAATCAAAATCCTAAAATTAATCAAAAGCCATTGCTTGGATTTATTATTGTTGTTACAATGTGTTTCACATCAGCTTTTGCTAGTATTTACTTCATTAATTAATTTTGAAATTTTTTTATTTACTATAAAAATTTTTGTTTATTTTTGTTTATCATAAAAAAAGAAAAGAAAACAAAACAAAACCAAAATTTATTAGTTACTAAATTTTATAATTCAATGAGTTAGCAATATTTTTGTTTTTTTGTTTTTTTATTAATCCAATAATACAATCATCAAAAGTAAAATTTAAGTAAAATTTGGAAAAGAAAAAAAAAAAAAAACAAACAATAAGTAATTTAAAATTATGAAAAATGTTAAACATTACATGTGTTTATTTGGAAAAAGTGTTAAAACGAAGTTCGATAAATATTTGGATGCAAAATATTCGCCTTGCAATTCTTGGCATACCAATTAGTTGCTTATTAATTTGTATTTCGGATTATGCTACTATTAAAAAAGGTTATCATATAATCATTTTTTCTTTCATTCTTTTCCCTCTCTTTCCCTCTCTCTCTCTCTCTCTCTCCATTTCATCTTTCATTCTGTTTATTTTTTACCTTAAGTATTATTAATTTTTGATATCACTGATTAAAATAAAATAATAATCATTGAATAACTCTTTAAAATGATATACAAATGAAATAAATTTTATTAATTTCAGTGTATAACAATTTATATTACTTAATTAATCATTAATTATTAAGTAACATCAGATATAAATTTATAAATTAATATAATGCAATTAAATTTTCCTTCTTTTTTTCTTGTATTCACAATGTAATACCAAATATATTCGATGGTAATAGTTAATTAATTATTTTCGAGTTAAAATGGTGCAAAAATTTATATAAATATTTATTAGATTTCTTTTTTTCGAAAAAAAGAGAAAATAATACGTTGATTGTAATTTATTACTTTTGAAAAAAAATTAAAATAAATTTAAAGATGGAATGTTTCATGGATTTGATATTCCTGTATGGATATTAATTTTGATGAATTCAACCGGTGGTTTATTAATTTCTATTGTTATCAAATATGCTGATAATATAGCAAAAACTTACGCTCAAGTAAATAATTTATTTTTTATTACAAATTTCAATTTGTTATTTTTTCTTTTTTTTTTTTTGTTTTCAAATAACAATTCAGTAATGTTTATCAATTTACAAAATAGCATTATATGATAACAATTAGAGAAATTCCATAATGTTTGCTTCTCCCTTTTTTTATTCATTGCTATTATCATAATTACTTTATCACTACTTATCACATTTATGATAAAAAAAAAAATTTACTTTCAGAGTGCATCAATACTTGGTGCATCATTTGGCTCCTGGATTCTATTCAACTTTACACCACCATCACTACTGTATTGTTTAGGTGGCATAGCAATTATCATATCAATTATCATATATAATTCATATCCTTATGAAAATCAGCAAACGATTAAGCCAAATAGTTGAATAACCTTGGATATTGGTAATTGAAGATTATACGATCATAAAAGATCATAAAAGCTAACCAAAAACAAGAAAGAAATTGCAGAAATTTAGAGCTTAACCGATTAATTAATTAATTAATTAATTAAGATAATATTAGTTATAATAACAGATTTAAAAGTGATCAATTAAGATGAGATAATATAAAAGATAGATAATAAATGATATAAGTAATATACATTTCCGTTCTATTATACTTAAATTATAAAATGATTTGTTGTAATAGTTATTTTGCTTTAATCATTTTAATATTGATTTTGAAAGAAATTAAAATAATAAATAAAATATAATAAAATATTGAAAATCATTAAAAATGAAACAAACATTATAGTAATTGGAAATTTAATTAAAAAATGAAAAAGCAAAAAAAAAAAAAAAAACTATAATTCTGTGATATTTATATTTGCATCATTTGATATCGTTTATCAGAGATCATTTTTTTTTCTTTTCTTTCTTTCTTTTTTTTTTCACCTGGAAATGGTATAGAATTCTTCGGAGATAAATCAATTATTTATTATCATTAAAAGATATTACTGATAAAAGATAAAATATTTCACATTTATTAAATCAAAAAAAAATATCAGCAATTAGTCTAATTTTCGAACATTCGCATCAAAATATCAAATAAGTTAATTTTTATAAGTAATTGATTTTTTATACAGTTTTTATAAGTTATTGATTACCGATTTTATAAGTTACTGATAATAAGAAACTTAACAATATAATAGAAAAAAGATATAACAAATGAATGAAATATAAATTCGATTAAAAAAATTTAAACTAAAAGTATTTCTTTGAGATTCTTTTTTAATTTCTCAACAAATATTCCATTACAATAGCTCAAAAAAAAAAAAGAAATAAATGCTTAGAATTTCTAAAAATTTACGATTCTATGGAAAAAAAAAAAAACGAAATGCGAGAGAGAGAGAGAGAGAGAGAGGGAAAGAGAAACAGACAGACAAAAAATATTTAATGTCAGAGAGATGAAATATATTTGTATAAGACATAAATTGTAAATTAAATAATTAAAAATTTGATATTTCGAAGTTACTAGTTAATAAGGAAAAAAGAAAAATGTGTTTATTTTAATTATCATTGTTAATATATGAATAATCATTATCATAATTTTAATATTTAATTCTTTTATTTTTTAATTTTTTTTCATTAAAAAAAAGCTGAAAAAATTTTTGTTTAGAATAAGAATATGTCTATTTACATGATAATTAGTGATATGCAATGATAAGTGATAACATATCAATTTAAAACTTTTTATCATTGATCATTTTTTACTATCGCAAAAATTGCATAATTGTCTGATAAATGCGTAACACAGTGTGAATCATTTATGTTCGTTCATTCTTCATTTTTTCTTAAAAATCAGAAAAAAAAAATTTTATCTTTGGAATATTTATTCTTCCTGAAATTAATTATTTTAAGTGTTATTATTGTTTATTGTTATTGCATATTAATTTTTTAAGTGTTATTATTGTTTATTGTTATTGTATATTAATTTTTTAAGTGTTATTATTGTTTATGTATTAATTAATAAATTGCAATTTATTTCCAGTTTTTTGTACTTAATTTTATGATCATTTAGTAATTTTAATTTCCATTCCAATATTTCATGATTTTATCAACTTACACTAATTGTACTAATTATTTGATCATTGCAGTTTTTTGTTTTTTGTTTTTTTGTAATTATAAATATTTGCCAGAAATAATTTTGTTTTATGGATCCATTACTTATGCTTGTAACGTTTAAGTTACGTGACGCAACGCTTAGCCGTACGCTTGATTTCAGAACAAAAAAGGTTGCATGTTGAAAATACTTTGTCGTCATTTACTGTTGAAATTTCACATCGCGATTAAATCAATGTGAAATACATCGAAATTGTTAGATTTACGTTACAACACGTTGACTACTCCAATATCACTGTTTATTGCTTATCTCAAATTATAATATTGCAAAATGTTTCTGTTAACCTGAGATTGAGACGTATATGTCTATGTGTGCATGTGTTTACGTGTACTTACGTGCACACGCGTATGTTTTCAGCTTGAAAATTAATTAAAATGATGATGAGGAATTAAACTTCAAATTATTAACTCCTAGATCTTAGAGTTTAGATATATTTCCTAGATCTTAGTAAATGTAAGAGTTTAGATGTATTTTACATTGATTTATTTTTTAGTTCGTTATTTTTGTTTTAAAATAATCTGAAATAAATTATAAATATGTCATCGTTAGCTTTAAAAAAAGACATAAAAACAGGCTGATGTAGCACAATTTGAGACATTCTGTTGTAGAAAATTCAAGATATTCTGATGTAACAGAGATGTTACAAATATTTTGATTAATGATAAGTAACAAAAAGGAAGTATATTGTGGTTGGAAGTTATACTGTTCTTTCTTTTTCAATTCACAGTTTTAATTTGATGACAATCTTTCTTATTTTTTTTCCCATATTTTTATATTTTGATTGAAATTTATCAAATTTCATTTTTTTTTCTTTTCTCAAATTAATACAACAAATTTTGTTCAGTATTTGTTCATAATTAAATGCATATATTCCACTATCTATGTGCAGCAATTATTTGTGAATAAAAAAACTACATTATTGAAGTCCCAGCATAATATATGATTAGCTAGAATGAATGATATTGCTAAAATGAATAGATCTTTATAGATATTGAATTTTAAAATTATTACTTATTATTGTGAATTTATTGAAATAAAAGAAATATTTGCAGGGATTTGCAGAATTGCATCTATCATCGATGGTATCCATGATATCAAGGATTTTTCCATTAACACGATGTTCGTACAGTTCAACAACATCAGCGATCGGTTCCTTCTACGATATCATCATAATTGGTGGTGGAATGGTTGGTAATGCGATGGCTTGCTCTTTAGGTTAGTTAAATTCCATTTTAGTGTAATTTAATCAAAAAATTTCTGACTATTCTCTTGATTTTCATTTCATTTTCATTGTTTCATATAATCGGTTCATTAGTTATCCCAAATTCAACATAAAAAGGAAAATCGAAGCATAAATTGATATGAAATATCTGTGAAGCATTGTTGCTCATAAAATGAAAAGTTGTTATTTATTTTGATCAGGATTGAACGATTATTTCAAGTCGAAAAAGATACTTGTACTAGATTCAGCAGAAATTAAAGCACCGACAAAAGATTCACCATATGGAAATCGAGTTACTGCAGTGTCACCTCCGTCTATATTACTTTTCCAAAGTATGATTAAACACATCTATATCTGTTTTACTTGATTATACTTTTAAATTGAATTTTCTTTCTTCATATAATAATTACTTGCAGAATTGGGAATTTGGAATGATCTTGTGAATTTGAGAGTGAAACGAGTCGATAGACTTCAGGTTTGCTACTTTAAGAATTACTAAACCGTAGCTAACTAAACCTCACAGATGTATTAATTAGGTCATAATTAAATTGGAAGTACATATTTATTAGAATCGACTAATTGATTTTATCTTTATAATCAGTCATTAGTTAACACTTGGTTATCATAAAGCCAGGATTTGAGAGCTAATTAATTTGCTAAGTGGAATTAATCATTCATGGGAACCTTACGATTTCTTTCTAAAGCTTCCCAACCGTAAGAGAGTTTTAATTATCACATTCAAAATTCATTTGTAAAGTAAAACTCATATGTAGAGTATGAAGAATTATATTATGCATATATCTAGGTTCTTGATAGCTGCTCGCAGTCATCGATACGATTTGCACAACCAGATCCAACTAACGAAGTCGCGTATATGATTGAAAACCATGCAATTGTCGGGTTTCTTTCAAATCGTATCAAAGCAAGCTGTCCAAATGTCACAGTTAGGACGAAAGCAAAAGTGATTGATTGTAGGTATGATGGTACTGAAGAAATTTTTCCTTGAACTATAAAGTTTTTAAATATTATGAAATGTTAATCGCACTTATGTGTTCGCAATATAAAGTTGCTTTCAGCACTCCTTCTGGTTTAGATGAATTTGCTACAGTTGTACTGGATGATGGAACTAAATTACAAACTTCTCTTATTGTTAGTATTTGCTAAAATTTTTAAACATTCCGAAAAATTATTCATTTCATTGCTAGTTACTAGTTGAGATTTTAAAAGGATGTGAAAATAGAGGTTGAATTAAGCGCTTTTTTTATCAAAAATTATATGAGAAGAAAAGTAATATTGAGTTAACATGAAATTTGTATCGTTAAATTACAAATATAGCTCATATCATTCCTTATTTAGTATGAGGAATAGAATGTTTTGTAGATTGGTGCCGATGGTGCTAGAAGTATGGTAAGAGATATGCTTAACTTCCAGTATACCTCATGGGGATATGGACAGTCAGCAGTGGTTGCAAATCTTCAAGTGGAAGCTGTAAGTTTTCCTATTAATTTGTTTGTATGACAGAATTTCAAACCATTGTACTTTTTACACGATTTCATTGCAATTAGCTCTTGATATTTATGCATAATCTTTTTTCTCTAATCAGTTATTATCACTTAAATTCATTCATGTACTAAGCTCTTCCCATTCTTTAATTTCATACTTTTATAATTTGCTTTTTTTCTGTTTTATAAGATAAATGACGAATTTTCGGTAATTTATCTGAGAGATTATTTTTTCTTTTCCTTCTTTTAAAAGTTTCATGTTATTTCCGTTATTTATAAATCATGAATATATAATGAAAATGACTTATTTTGTAGTGTGTTTTTTGAACATTTGATAAGCATGATTTTCTCTTTTTCTATCTGTAAAAAAAGGGAATTTTTTATAAACTGTGACATGTGCCAATAAACTAGCTCAAATTTTGAATTGAAAAAACCATATATATAATAACGATTATTTCCGATGGAAAATAATTGCGTTGCATGGGAAAGATTTACGCCAAGTGGTCCAGTAGCTCTTTTACCACTTACTGAAAATATGAGTTCGGTGACATGGTCGACAAGTGCGGAACATGCTGAAGAATTGCTTTCATTACCACCAGAAAAGTTTGTTGATGAACTCAATGAATTCTTAGTAAGTTTTTCTGTTTAAATTCCTGAAATATTTTGATATTTTTTGATTTTAATGCTATTTTGAGTTGCAGATTCGGCAATTTGTTACGTGTTATAATATTGTTAACTAAAATGAAGGAGAGAATAATTTGTGTTATTGATGTTTTAACTTTAGTAGAAATAAAAATTGATAACGCTTATGAAATGTATAACTAAATAATTGTTACTTTCATGGGAAATTACACACTGCGAAATATGTCGCATTTGAACTAAACAACTGAAATTTAAATAGTAAGTTTGTTTTGAAAAAAAATTTCAAGTTTTTTGTTTCAGACTACTGACATTCATCAAGATTCTGTAACAAACCAATTTTTATCACTAACAGAACAAATACTAAAAGGAGTATTTTCCGTAAGTGAGAAGCCAAGACTTACGTTTCCAACGGTCATATCTTTATATGAAGGTACTCGTGCCGGATTTCCGCTGGCTTTTGGGCATAGTTATAGTTATGTTATACCAAGAGCTGCACTAATTGGGTTAATTTTTATATGCTTCTTCACTAAGATAAGACATTATCGTTAACTGATCTTTAAAACAATGAAAATCTTTTTACTTGCAGTAATAAATAAATTGAATTTGATCGAAAAGTTAATGATTCATGAAATGTTTAAGATATGGAAATATTTAAGCATTTTTAGCGATGCAGCTCATCGTACTCATCCATTAGCTGGACAGGGAGTTAATCTTGGATGGAGTGATGTGAAAATATTGCTAGAATGCTTACAGCAATGTGTTGTTGAAGGCGCTGATTTAGGTTAGTCATTTTTTTTGGAATAGTTTTTCTTTTTTTTTTTCTTTTCTTTTCTTAGTAATTCTGATGAATATTTCAGGTTCGCTTACGTATTTATCTGATTATGATACACAAGCACAGCGACGAAATGTACCTGTGCAGGTAGCATGCGATTGGTTGAATAGACTTTATTTGACGACTAGTATGCCATTCATCCTTATGCGTTCGTTTGGTCTTAATATGGTCGATAGATTCACACCTTTAAAAGTATACTGTTTTTTTTTTTTTTTTTCTTTAAATTGTTTTGCTAACTTGTTATTTTTTGTTTTAAAAAGTACTCTTTTTTTGAGTTTATTGGGTTCAAACTTTTGCTTATATTTATATGTTCTTTTTTTTTTTTTCTATATATTTGGCGAAAATTCGTGAGTGTTATTATGTCAAGTAATATGAATGTAGTCTTGCAATAGAAAATGCTTAGGTAGATATCACTTCGATATTCTTTAGGAGTTATCTCTCATTACTTCAACCTCCACCAGAAAAACATTTGGGAGCACTTAGTTTTTATAATTTTTACAATTCTTTTTTCGAGCGGTTTTTTTTTATTTTATTTTGGAATGCTTTCGTAAAAGAATGATTACTTCGAAATAGTCATTTTATAATGATTACTTTTTTATCTCATTTTACCAAAAATTACAGGATCTTATTGTTTATCGAACATCAACGTAAACAATACGCTACTGATATAACAGCGACGTCAATAATAGCCGCATAAGCAATAACAATTGGAATAGTAATGGAGTAGTAAATAGCTAGGGATAAATTATATTATTTAATTGACATGGTAATTTTCAATAGGTTTTTTTTTTTTCTTTTTGTGATGTCGAATTGTTCATTGGAAATTTTCGCTGTAGATAAGTAGATAATTCCGACTTTAATTTGTTGTATGTTTTAGTTAATGATTCAGGTTATTTTTAATGTTTGATATGTTTTAGCTAGTGAGTGAGGTATTTTTAATATATGTCAGATAAGCATTGAATAGTTGACAGTCTCTTTTTTTCAACTTGTTATTGTGGAAATGCAGATATTGATTAATGTTACGATCTTGAAAGATGCGAGTCAAAGTAATCTTAACTGGTAGAGCAGTTGACAGTTGTGGAAATGTAATTCAAATTAAATTGAAATTAAACTTAAAAGCACTTTACATTTTACGGAAAAAATTACTTATTTTTTGTTGTCATTTCATTATGTCATTTGCTCATTTATTTGTTATATTATCAGTGTACTTATTGTTACTCATCAATTAATAGTTATTATAAATACAGTAACTAAAAATGATTCAGCAATAAAAAGTTAAAAATAAAATATTTTATCATAAATAACTGGCAAAAACAGCCCTTTTTGAACAGCAATGTTAGCATTACATGAAAATAAAATAAATTAATTGGTATCATACAGTCCTATAGAATAAAGCATTTTCTTGTATTTTTTGCGAATATTTGAATTAATTTAAGATAGATAGGTACAGTTCCATGATTATGAATTGAATTAATCTAAATTTAATTTGATCTATAATTTAAGCTATCTCATCTTTAAGTTAATTTCTATTATTTCTGGAGCAAAAAGGAAAAGAAAAAAGCTGTGTGCATGTGTAAATTTTACGAAAAAGTTTTGTTTTTTTTTTTTTTTTTTTTTCCTTTATATATTTAAATTTTCTTCTTCGTTTTTCCTATTTGTTTTTTATTTCTCTCAAATGATAAAATGTTTGATTTCAATCACATTGATTTAAAATAAAATGCGAATGAATAAATATGATGGTTACAGTTTTCTCTTCTTTCTTCTTTCTTTACACTTTTTTTCTTTTTTCTTTTTTTTTTTTTTTTATTTCTAACCTTTTTTTTCACCACAATTTTTTTCTTTCGTTTTTGCTTGTTTTTTTTTTTTTTTTTTTTCGCCAAAATAAGTAGGTAATATTTATTCTAGAATATTCTCTTCTCTACTTTAGCTAAAAATTTTGCTCACCGATAAAATGGGCGCTTTAAAAGTACAAATGATCATTTATTATTAATTAGTACTTATCAACTTGTTGTAGCAATATTTAATGCATATAGTAGTTATATAGTTGAAAATAATCTTTTTTCTTTTTTTTTTTTTATAGTATTTATTTAGTTTTTTTTTTTTTTTTGTTAGTTGAAAAAGTAATTCTTTACATAATTTGAATTCTTTAAAGGATTATTTAGTTTTTTTTTTTTTTTTTTTTAATATTTTTATAATGAATTGAAATTAATGATTTAGTATAGAAATATAGTAATGGATGAAAGTGAGATATCAATGGAAGAAGAATTTAGTGGTGGTGAATCATCACAAATTCGACGACAAAATGTCGAAGATGAAGATTCACCTTGGCCAGTAACAAGACAACAGTATAGACTAGAAGAAATTATTGGAAATGGTTCAACATCAATCGTTTATAGGGTTATTGAATTTAATCAAATATAATTACAATTAATTTATGTTTGTTATTTCGAATTATTGAATTTAATTTCTTGTTTTATTTGATATTTTAAATGTTTTAAGCTTAGCTAAATTGGAAAATTTTCGTTTCTTCTATCGTTCTCATTTTGTTAACATTTATTTAAATATTATATTAATTGAATAAATAAATATGAAAAGTTAACTTTTCATTTTTTATTTTTAAAAATAAATTTTTTTTCTTTTGTTGTGATAGATAATGAAACAATAAATAATGAATTTATATTAATATTAACAGCGCAAAAAAAAAAAAAAAAAAGAAAAAACTGGTGGATGAAATTAACAAAATATTAATTTGGCTTAATTTACTATCGTTTTTGTTCCAAAGATAATTTAATAGAAAGAAAGAAATCAAAAAATTAATTAATTAAAAAATGATAAAATAAATGGAATAAGTAGAATGATTGTTTCGTGTAATATTCGATTGTTTATTTCAATATAATTACTCAATTTTATATAATATCTCATTGCATTACTATTATTATTATTATCATTATTATTATTATTATTATTATTATTATTATTATTATTATTATTATTATTATTATTATTATTATTATTATTGTCAGTATCATTTATTATTATTATTTATTATTTATTATTATTAGTAAAAGTTCACAACAAATATTCGTTAAAAAATTTTCATACTATGCTATCATTTATTATTGTTATTATTATTATTATTACTATTATTATTTACTATTATTAGTAAAAGTTCACAACAAATATTAATCAAAAATTTTTCATACTATGCAAAGTAATTTGTTAGTTAATTTGATATAAATTTAAAATATTTAGCAATGAATTCCTTCAGCAATTTTCTCCGTTAAATTTCAATTTCTATAGAAAATTGTGTGCTAATAAACAAAAAAAAAAAAAAGGAGGAAAGGAAGGAAATGAAGCCATTTTCAGGGTATTTGCACAGAGCGAAATGAAATATGCGCAATTAAACGCGTCGATTTAGAAAATTATAGTTTATCGCAGTTAGGAAGAGAAATTAGGGTAATTCTTTCCACTTTGATTATTTAATTATATAAATAATAATTTCATTAAATTTGTTAATAATTCAAAATTTTGTTTGGGTAAAAATTTTTGCAATTTCTAAAATTTAAATCAGCAAAAAAAAATAAAATAAAATACAATTGGAGATACAGATATAATAATTATTAATTTAATTTAATTTGTTCGTTTTTTGCTTTAGGGATTAAAGGAATGTAGACATTCCAATATTGTCAGGTATTACACGTCTTTTTACGTGGGACAAAATTTATGGATAGTGATGCAATTGCTTGATCGTGGAAGTTTGCGTCAAATTATGGATCGTTTAATTATGGTGAATAAATTAGAGAGTTGTGCAAATTAAAATTTATATCATTGTTTAATGATTATGTACATATATAAATAATTTTACGTATGTAACTTACAAAATTATATATATATATATAAATTCAATATTTAAATAATTTTTAAATATACTGAAGTGAATGGAAAGCTATTAACGGATTAAAGGATGTTTTCTTTGTATTATTTTATAAAAATAATAAAATGTGAGTTAATTAAAACTTCATTTTATTTAATACATAATTTTATTCATCATTATTTACAAACCTTTGCTTGTTTGTTTGCTTGTTTTTAAAAGTGTTTAATTGATGACGATAAATTGGATTAATTTATATTGATACAGGAAAAAAAAAAGTGAATTCAAATGCATTTTTTTAATTTTAAATTTATGCCAATGGAAAAAAAAAAACATGTCTATGAATATATTATTGTTACTATTATCACTAATTTATTTTTGCTGCTATACGAAATTTTAATCTTTAATATTTAATATATATACTTCATTTAGTCATTGGGTGGACGTTTTGCGCTTAACAGAGGTTTGCTAACACAGCCTGTAATTGCTACAATATTAAAGGAAATTTTAGCTGGACTAGAATATATTCATGATAGTAAGCTTGTTCACGGTGATATTAAGGTATTAATTTTATATGAGCCTTCTTTAATACTAAATTATTTGATCACATTAATTAATTACCTTTATATCGTGTATTAATTTAAATAAGCATAACACATTGTTGGTATATTTTAATGTATGATTCATATTGATTTACAGTATTATACATATATATATATACACACAGACACACACACACATATATACGCACACACACACACACACACACACACACACACATACACATACATGCATACATACACGCACACTGAAGATACAGTTGTTTGTAAGATCGGTAACTGGATTAAATCTTAGGAACATTTATTCCAAAAAATTAAAAAGTCCATTTAATCTGTGCATAATTGAATAAGGAAAAAAGTAATAACTAATTCAAGCATTCTTATTTCCTTTGTTTTCGAACAAAAAACTTACAAAATACAAAATTTTCCAATTACGTTCATTCAAATTATTTTAAGGCTTCAAATATACTAATTTCATCCGAAGGAAATGTCCAACTTGCCGATTTCGGTCCTTCAATTTGGGTGGAAAATGAAGAGGTAAATATATATATGCATATGCTCATGTATGGATTATGGAAAAAAAATTTTATAATTTTGAAAAACTTAAATTTTTTCTTTTTTGTAAATTTAAACAACACTTACAAAAGGATAACTATCAAAAGTAAAAATTCAAAAAAAGTTTTTTGAAAAAATAAAATAAAATATATGATTATAAATACAAAAGAATAAAACTATTACTATGTGAATCATTAAAATTTTTTTTCTCGCTGAATAATTTAATATAATTTGTACTGTAAATGTATAATAAATGAATGTTAACTAATTTATTTTTTATTTCATACATTAAATTAATCCTATTTTTATTATAACTACATTCGTTTCTTTCAGAGGACAAGGAAAAATATGCCGGGAACAGTATGTTATTTAGCCCCTGAAATAGCTGTTTTAGAATCGAATGATGTGAAAAATGATGCTTACACACTTTATGTTGATATTTGGAGTTTAGGTATAACAACGTTAGAAATGGCAGCTGGTTATCCACCATATCATAACAAAGTAACTAGTATGGTTAGTTTTTCTTTTTCTTTAACTTGTAAAAAAAAATTGAAATTCTATGAAAAGAAAATTTCATCCAATTGGAAAAAAATTGAAAAAAAAAAATTTCTTTTAATAAAAATTTGAAAAGCTAAAACTGATATTTGAGCTAGTATAGAAATTTTGTCTGAAATATTTATTAACATATTCCCATGAAAATTTTTGCTATTGCCTTTTTTTTTTATTGTTATTTAACTAATTTGCAACACTATTATGGATTAGGTGATTTGGGATTTTGATTTTAATTTTGATTAAAAAAGTTAAAATTAAAACAATCAAAAAAAGATAGGAATAAGTTCCATTTGTACAGATTGATGAAAATGACAAAAAGAATGGATGAAATGAAAGTGAAAGATAATAAAAAGAAGGAAAAGAATATAAAATGAATATAATTAAAATTATAACATGATAAATGTGTGAACGAGAAAGCAAGAGAAGCGGAAGAAAAGACAAAATTTTCAACTATTAAAAAAACCTTCCAATATTTCATACCAAGATTTATTACTGCTTTAGCAGATACTACAAAAAATAAAAATAATCAAAAGGAATTCAGCTATTTCAGAAGAATTGAAATAATTATATCGTATGGTTAAAAAGAAAAAAAAAAAATAAGAATTATATAGTGAGAAATACAATTAAAAATTGCTATATTAGAAAAATATGATAAATAAAAATAGGCCTTTTTCTTTTCAGACATTAAAATGGATTCGAAAAAATGATCCACCAAATTTGGACACATATGAGGAGCGTGATTATAGTGAATATGGAAAAAAGTATCGTCACTTTGTTTCATCATGTTTAAAGGCATGTTTTATAATATCTAGAAAATGTGAAATTTTGCAGTATTTTATATTTCATACATATTTAAAAAATATTAATATGGGTAAAAAAAATAACTATAAATAGCATATGAAAGACGGTTCTTCATAACTTATAAAATCAAGCATGCAAAAGAAATATGTTAAATGATTTTCTCTAAATTTCATTTGTAATGAGATTAAAAATTAACTGGTTATCAGGAATTAAATCTTTTACAGTTATGAATTAAATTTAATTGTAGAAGAATGCAAAACAACGTTGGACAGCAAAAAAACTTATCACTCATCCATTTATCACTACTACAGCACAAAGCAGTGAATATCTTACACATACCTTTCTTGAAGGTTCTCAATCTCTTCCAACAACATCAGACGATAAACAAAGGGCAATCTCAAGACAACTTCCACCAATTGTTGATGTTAATGAAGCAAGTGATTTTCCATTTTTTTATTCAGCAACAACTTCATTAATTGCAAATAAACAAATATATTATAAAGAAAAAAAAAAAAAAAAATTGGAATTGCATTAACATTAATATGGAATGGATACTGAAAAAATATTGAATGGAAAATTGACGGTTGATTACAAATTTCGAATTCACAGTTGTTTCTGACGATTTTAAGAAGTTATCCAGTAATTAATATAGCAATAATAATATAAAACTTACAATAGTGAAAATGATAAGGTCTCCAACCAATGCTGAAATATTCATCTGTCAATTTGGGTAAAGTAATTAATCGACGGCTAGTTTAGAATAATTTCTGCGAATTAAAAAACAGGCTAAAATAGTTTTGCATATTAATAATCACTACTGCTATTGCCGATACACGTTAATATAACCTCGATTGATTCGAATATAAATAGAATAACACAATCATTCGGGAAATAATCAACCACCGTACTGATAATGATTCGTTCTCTAATTTATGCTGGGGTTTTGGAATCTTTCGTTGTTTTGAACATATTTTCCTGGAGTACAATGTTAAATATTTCATTATACTAAAAAATACATGTATCGTATCATTATTTTTTATTCAGACAATTCCCAATCCATCTTGGATTTCTTTTAAAAGTGAATTCAACACTGGTTTATTTTCTATGCTTATAACACGTCATCATGATTAAACTGATGTAAAATCTGCAGATTTATTTAGAATGTGGAAAACGTGCCAGTCGATGCTGGGTGGGATTATGACATTGAAGTAGAAGAGGAACCACGCATCAATCGGATAAACAAAACACCTAGTCACCCACCAGTAAGAATTCCACCAAGTGCAGAATTATCGATGGTATCCATCCATCTCTCTCACAATACGTAATGATAATAATCCCCCAATTACAAACTTTTAAATGAGCAACTGCAGTATTTTTATAATTTGGAAAAGAAAAAAAAAGTGGACGGTAAAGAAATTTAATTTTAATACCTTCTTCTTCTCTATTACCTTCATCATTCTTTTATAACGTAAAATTTGTCATTGAAGAAAAAAACAAAAAAAAAAAAACTTCCAACAAAATCCTCTCCTTTTTGAAAATCGGCATTCGATATTCATCTAATAATTAGTCATTGTTAAATAAGCATACAATCCATCTGGTTATCAACCTGTGCTCGCTGTATTATCTGCTACAGACGGGGAAACTCAGGTCAAAAAAGTGGTCAGACAATTGTCCTGAATCAACTGGAAACTAGGAAAGGCTTACAGTGCTATTAAATCTGATTAAACTTATTTGCAATGTATGAATTTAACAGTTGGCATTAAGAGTACAAAAGTCTCAAACTGCATCTTTTCAGACCGTAAGTATTATACGATATGAAGAAAAGGAAGATGAATCAGAGAGGGTTATAATGGCGACAGAATTATTGTACACCTGCAGAAATTCGATTGAAGAGCAAGTTTTCCAACTTGTTAAAGAGCGAAAACTGGAACCCAAATATTTGGTGCTTGTTGCGGCAAATCTCTGTAAAGTTACTACTGCTGCACAACGTCAGGATCTTGGAGGAAAACATTTCGCGTTTGTTATTGAGCAGAACAATCAATCTGTAACAGTTCTCGAAATCTGCATCACTGTTTGGTATTACACTACAGACCATCATCACCATCATCAACATTATCATCATTATCAACAACAACGTCTACGACAACGACAACGACAATGGCAAGAACAACAACAACAACAGCAACGACAACAACGACAACAGCAACAACAACAACAATTATTACTACTACAACAAGAGCAACAACAACAACAACAAGAGCAACAACAATAGTAACAACAATAACAGTGAAACTAAGTCCGATTTAAAAGCATTGCAGAGGACACGTAGGAAATAGTTCCAGAATTTCCACTGCTTCAGTGCAGTAACAATCTAAATTATCAATTTCTACTCTATATATTTAAAAATGATCATTCATCATATTTCAAAGTACAGAACTACCACTGCAATGATATCATATCTCACATTTATAACTACTTTCACAAGCCTAACTGTAACTAGATTTCTGTCTTTCCCAACGGATAATTGCCTGACATTCGTATTTCCATCTATTTATCAAGACAAAAGATTTAAGCAAATGACTACTTCAATCAACCCAATCTAATGGCAATGTATTAACCACTTATACGAAGTTTCGAGATGACTGCCAAGACACCGGAAATATATGTTTCAGTTTAAGCTGTTGTTGTCGTTCTTTTCCAGTGTGCTTCTAAGTTTTTCGAAACCTATTAAAACAATTATTATATGTAGTGGCTGTTCACTTTTAGAACCAATTTATACTTCAATAAAAACACAACTTTTGATCAGACTGGTCTATCGTTAGGGGTGAAAGAACTACGTCCATCAGTCACACACGAATTCTCGTATTTTTTGCCAATGGCTGCTAAGGTTTGGCATTTCATGGCCACTCCCGATATGATCTCTAAACACGTGCTAACAAAATACTGGCTCTTCATAATTTAGAATATGGAAACTCCACTGACTCCCATTCCTTGTAATTCAATATATTTAAATCATCTGAGGAGGATCTTCATTTCATTATGACCCGAAACTGTACCTACAAACACACTTTCACAAACCGGTATCAAACAATTATGAAGATATTCGGACATTTGATGAAAAAACCATGGCATAACGTGCATCGAAATGTCACAACCATCTTTTTCTCCCACATCCATACATTCATGTTTACCAAGCAACAGAAACTGATGGATTAGTCATTTCTCCGGGGCTTTTACAGTCTGCACAATTCTACTTTTCTAAAACAACCTTTAAAAGCTTGCCTAACATCATCGGCTTTACAGATACTTTCTACCACAAAATTTAATTCTCTAATCTGACAAAAAAAAAAAACTCATGTTATTGTACATGCAGCACATTTTACAACACAGTAAAAACTAGAACTACGAGAATCTTTCATGAAGTTTAACAGATTAAACTCTTTTGTTACAACCTACAAAAGAAACACCTTTTAGTACTAATGAAGCATTCTCCTATAATTAAAAATACCGTGTTGCAATGTCAGCAAACGTTACAACTCCAAGACTTCTTCGTAGGGTTCTTCAGAAAACATTCAAACTGAAAATAGCAAAAAAGCAACTTTGCCCTAATCCAAATCATATAGTCAATTTCTCTTCACACAATCAGAACCAACCCTACATTACCGGCACTGACTTCCCCCGACATTGATTATTGGCTTCTGTATCACTGGCGACTCATCGTCTCTTCCAAAATCCTAAATGTCTTTAGCACATTTAACGTGTAACCTTCTATTATGTAAAATTTTATGTGAGCAAGAAAATATACAATACAGTGAACACAAATTAATAGAAAAGAGGCAATAATCAATAAGTCGAGTGAAACCCAGACTATGAGGTCTTAGCAATGAAAGTCAACTTCAAACTTTCCTGACCGATCCCAAACTCAGTTTGCTCCATAACTCCAGAGACGCCACACTTTGCATCTTTAAATTACGACAATGAATCCTAAAAATAAAACAACAAGTTGAGCAAAATACGCATACACTCTGAGATCACTGAGGCTTGCATCTTTAAACCTTTTTCCAACTCCAATACATCGAGCAAATAATTGTCGAAATATTCGATTAGTTCTAATGTGGTGAAACAATGAGACTATGATTATCCAACTGAAATAGCTGTTTCATGTGCAACATTTCTCGTTTCCTGTTCATTGTCTTTATACCCTGAAAAATGAATTCACCGTACAATTCATTAATTTTGAACAATTAAAACTGGCAGAAAGAGAATTTCCACGAATTTCATGTCCTATCTAAAAAGCTCCGAAACATGTTCAAATGTAAAGCATTACTTGAAAGAAAAACAAGAGCTCCGAAAAAACTCTGATGCAAAATCAATGTTACTGTTAACAGAAGACACAGTATCCTGGACCAGAATGCTGGGCCTGGGCCACTTCGATCGCGTTTAGCATCACACATCGAAAGGTGTGTTTTTTTTTATTTTTGAACGCAAAACATTTGGAAACTGAAACAATATCACGAACCAAACAAACCCTAACACCATTTTACATAGCTCACCTAACATGTGCCACCTAACCATGCAAATTTCTGTCGAGTTTCGAGATTTCACAATCCGAAAAAACTATGACGTACAGGGCTTCTGAATTTGGTGATGTCAACATAGCAATACAACCAAAATATTAAAAAAAAAAGGTAGAAACCAACCTGACGCAACAACTGTTTTGCCATATAATTCATCGAATAATGCATCTAAGCCAAACGGATCCGCATCCGACTGACTATATCGCGCTTTCTTGAAACAGACCGGCGGCGGTGGTGGTGGTGCTTCAATCATTGTGCTCTCAGCTTCCATAACATTCGACAAAGGCAACTGAACACAGTTATCTTGTTGCAATAAACTGTATAAATTGTCGTTATAACCACCAAACTGTACTGTTCCACCGTCTCCACCTCCACCTCCATTTTCTGGCTCACTAGCAGGCAATTCCAAACATTCCGAGAAATCATCCACGATGATCTCAGGGTGGGATTTAACTCCAAAATTAGATTCCGACCCGCAGGACGACGACGAGTACTCACGTTTCCGACTTTCCCGACTGTTCCTCCTACGATGACGTTTGGCAGCACGTCGTTGTTGGTGTCGTTTCGCACGACGTTCACCAAGGTATTTACATAACGATTGAATGAAACTTGTATGCAGCAATTCTCGTCTTAGATCACGCTCTTTACTGTTGTAAATAATACGACGTCGTTGAATTGCCATTGTCAGTAATGTACGTGGTGAAAAATCACTATCGTATTCATCACCATCATACTCTGATGATGAACATGATGATGACGATGATGATGATGATGACGATGATGATGTTGTTGATGTTAACGTTAATTTTGACGTTGACGTTGATGATGTGTAATTATAACAATCATTTGGTGAGTATTTTTCATCCAAAAGCAATACCATATTGCAAATAGCTGAAATATTCATATATCATATCATGACTACTATTATTTTTCAACTTTTTTCCTTCTTCCCACCAAACATTCTTTCACTTCATGACGTTAAATTTCATTCATCCAAAAAAACAAATGCGCAAAGACCGAGAGAAAAAGAAGAAAGGAAATCAAAAAACAGAAGGAAGGAAAGGCATAACACACAGCTCATGTAAATCAATCAAAATTATTATAATGCACTCCCAGTTCCTAGTGACAAAAAATTATCCATCAGATAACTTCTTCCAACCTAAATCTCAAACGTCACGTAACGTAAGTAACGTCGTATCACGTGGACAACCCAACAAAGAGGAGAAAATAGCACTAAAACCCAACAAACAACCAACCACCAACAAACCAAACAACAACTAATTCGCTCAAATGACTTAAACCGTAAATAACTATTCCTAGCAAACCGCAACGCTTCATTATGCCGCGCGTCGCGCTGTGCATATAGTACCTGAGAAATAGTGCCAAATTAATTTAAATTTATTTTGCTGATAAAAAATTTTTGTGAAATATTTTGTTTTTATTTTTGTTGCATTTATTAACTTAATTACAGATTTACCTGAATGCCACTACTTACTTACCTATCATTTCATAGAATTCTTCTTAAATAAACACTCAATAGCGTATTATTGATTGATAGCATAACAATGAGATACACCTGATATGCTTGGGCAATTAGCCAAACGAAAAGATACATTGTCAATGTTTTCCAATTGAGACCTAATTATTCAAAGTTTTTATCCCTCTCCCCTTTTCTTGCATTTTAAATTTAGATGAAATTAAGTTTAAAATTTTTTCACAAATAAATTATCCCAAATTTTTAATTTAATTAGAATAAGCTAACTAATTAGGCTTAAGTTTTATAATTAGACCTAGTTAACTAATGGTTTGCCTCCCATAATAGCTTTTATAATGATTGAATAATTGAAACTAATTTAATATTATCTAATTAATCACACAATAAACATTGTTGTTAGGAATGAATGAATGGATGTATGTGTATTTAATGTCTAGAAAGAGATAGCAAATCTGATTTTACAAATTAATATTTTTCATTTAGGTTTGTTATTATTACTTCACTTGCGACCATTCACCATTTCATTTTATTTAAAATTCAAAAAATCTGAAATTTCTACTTCACCTCTCTTCTTAACTTGCAAAATATCGGTACATTTCCAGCTTTTTCTTCTCTTTTATTATATATGCATAAAATAACAAAGTGAGAGGATTGAATGTCAATTAATAATTTAATAGAAATGATTGGGGTAATTAGGGAAAATGTTTTCGGACAAAAGATAAACAAAATAAATCACTGCAGAGCATATAAGACAAAACTGAGCAAATATGTAGAATTTCTCTACCTTCAATTGATGTCACCTTAGCTGAATTACATATATCATCATCTGATGTTGCTAATGATAAAGAAACAAGGGTATATATGAAATAAAGTAGCTACATTTTAATATAAATAATTCACGCTAATTTTTTTTTTCTTTTTTGTAATATAAAAGGAAAATTTCCCATTTCTAATGCTCAATCATTTTTATCTTATTCTATCGTATATATCAGAAATATTACTTTATATTCTTTTCCACCAAATATATAATTTTCAAGAATATTAATAATGGGATACATTCTTAATGCTATCAAAGAGACTGTTCTAGAAAAGTAAATTTCTGATATTCATTTTTGCTTTGCACTTAAAAAAAAAGATTAATTGTGACATCATTGTGAAAGGCGATTATGGTGTAGAAACAAAAAAAAAAAGAAACCAAATATCATGACAACGTGATAAATTGAACATTACTGATTTAACATTTCACTAGTTATAATTTCATTTGTAAAAAAACAATGATTGCAAAATAAATACCATTCACAATCTTAAAAGATATTAATCGAACAGAGCTGCTGCGAATCAATTGAGTATTGCTAGAATGTTAACGATATAAAAATTGATAGAAATTATGGAAGCAGCAGATGAATCAATTAATAAATTCTATAATCGGAAAGAATTTGGGACAGATGACAACTTTTAATGAAAATTTAAAGGAAAAGCACATTTCTCAGCAGGCAGTAACTTGGTCACTAAATGAACTTTAGTAACATACTTCTTGAAAGGAGATGGTATGCAAACAATAGAGTCTGTAATTTCGGCTAATGTTCAAACTTGTTAATCTTTCAAATGCTAGAAAAGAAAAGGAAATTACAATTCGAAGAGTGTAATTACCATATTAACAATAGCAAATATCTTGGCCTATTTTATAATTGATAATTGAACAGAATCGTTGCTTCTGGTAACAGAATAGGTATGCTACCATAGTATAAAATATGCATCTGATTGGGACTAAAAATCGAACCGATGTAAAATGAATTAATTCATAATGACAATCTCTAGAAATTGAATCGGCAATGCAATGTTATGCTTGATTTAATCATACAAAAGAGACATTTTTGATTGGCAAATCGTTGAATCTGTGAATGATTTCTCAACAGTTCAGACGTACAATGAGAAAAATTGCTTCTAGCAAAATACGAATAATGTTCGATCTTACTTTTTCAATGCCAGTTTCAAGTAGATTCAGAACTGAGAATTAAACAAATCAGTGTTTCGAAATTAAAGACGCATTCTCGAATTTCTTCACATATATGTACTTAATTTTTCAATTTTCAACCAGACAAGTTGAAACTGACATTCAAAAAAGAAGTTATAACAGTTAAAAACCTAACATTAACTAACACTAGGAAAGCAGTTCATTTGATGTTCAAAATATGGAATCATAGAATATCTAATTGGTGAAAGAAACAAAAAAATAAAGAAAGGGAATCACAAAGACAAATACAAATCACTTCTACAATTGGTAGTCTGACCAGATTTGTCCCGAATCAGGAAAATAATGGAATAATTCAGTCAACTTGAGCATTACTGGAATCGATTAGTGATATTTGTGCGAAACCTATTAAAGCACGTTCATCCGGCATCTCTTGCGGTGGTACCGAACTTAGAGCAAAGGTTACAGACTTTTTGTCACTTTTCGATAATGCTGCATCTACAAGTTTTTTTAAATTTGCTGCCACAACTACCAGATCATGTCCATCGATTAGTTCAGCTGCAACTAGCTCATGTGCGATACCTTCAACAGTATCAACTGATGGAGTATAGTCAAATTTGATATCATTCAGCTCTTTCTGCGCATTCCTCACACGCAGCACCTGAATTTCGAAAAAAAATTATCCATCCAATAAAAGCGCTAACAAAAAAAAAAAAAACGAAATGACCAATCAAAAAACTGTTATTCATAATTGCAGATTAATTACCTAAAATGATCCTAAAAAATTAGCTGATATTTTTTCTACTAAACTTCATTTTTCAAACAAATAATAGAATAGTATTCTAGTTGGTGCTGAAGAATAAAAAAAATTAAAAAACAATTTTCACATGTAATATTAACAAAATTTCAGAAATATAACGAAGCGAAGTACCAAATTGATAGTTTCCGAAGCACTTGCTGCAGCAGCTGAAGTCGTTGGAAGGTCCATTTTTTCACCCTCTTCTTCTTCTGATTCAGTCTCTTCCGGTTCGAATTCCCAATTTCCTTCTGAATTCTTCTTTAGTTTACCCGATGCAACCTAAAACACAACATAACTTCCAAAAGAAAGAAACGCACATTCCAAAAAAGAAATGCACATGTACAGAATCTTGTAACGCTTTTCTATTTTAATAAATTATTCGACGCAGTTGATCAAATTTTATATCATGATTAAAAAAAAAAAAAACTTGAACACTGGACCTATACACCTTCTAGCTTAATTTCGCCAAGTCCTGTACCTCCTCTCCGCTGAAAAAGAGTCTATGAAAACAGTCTGAAAACTGAAATTACAAACCAACAAACAAACAAATAATTAAACTCTAAACTGCCCAATATTATTTCGAAGTAGAAGCAACAAAAGTGGTAGTACAGTATCTATGATCAAAATAAAGTATCATATTAGAAATATCATAATAGATTTTCAAGATTATTGAATTAGCAGATACATAGTATTTATTATTTTTAACGTACTGATTCTGCATGATACCTTTTTCGGTGCATCAGTTTGATGATGTGATGGAAGTGGCATAGATGCTAAATTTTCAATTAAGGCATGCACTAAATACTTCTTGTCTTTAGCCTTTTTGAAAAAGGAATACTTCAGAAGTTCGCTTGCAGTTGGTCGCTTCGATGGATCTTTCTGAAAATTTACCAAATTACTGCTTAATATTATTTTCACCTTCATGCAAGCTGGCTGATATAATATAACACTTTTTGAATCTGAAAAGTCACATTTATTTCCACTACTGTTTGCCTAAATATATATAAGTCACTTCAAACAAAAGAAAGCCAAGCAACGCATACAAATGCGCAAATGAGTAAAGTTAGTAAACAAATAAATCACCTGCAAGCAGTCCTTTATGACGTGACGAAAGCTTTTTCCATATGCTTTATACTGATCTTTTCTTTCCGCATTTGTATCCAAACTTGGCGGATCATTTTGTAGCGTTAACATTAAAACCTTAAAGTATTAGTATATATTTGTAGTGTATTTTTTATATATCCGGATAGCTAATCGAATATATAAAAAAAAAATAAGTAGTTGTCAAAATATAAAAAAGGAAACCAACCTTCATCGGTGGAAATTTATGATAAGGAGCTGTACCAGTTGCTAATTCAATAGCTAAAATACCAAAACTCCAAATATCAGCTTTGAAGTCATACCCTGAAACTTGCTCCATAACTTCGGGAGCCATCCAACACGGTGTTCCAACGAATGTATGCCGAACTTTCTGTAATAATACATAAAATTGTTTTATTTTAAGCAAAAAAATATGCTTTAAAAATTTAAATCAAATTCCTTAAAATTCCATTATTTTTCAACATCAAGGAACCTGTCTTGATAAGTCTCCTTGACTTGCAGACAGCCATCCAGAGACGCCGAAATCCGCAATTTGAACTGTGCCATCGTCAGCAATCAGTATATTACCAGCCTTAAATAATATCTATCAACTTTTGTCCTTTTATCCATATAAATTACGAAGGCTTGCAAGACTTGAGAAATGAAAATAGCAAAATTAATTGAGCAAACAAAAATTTTTCTACCATTTTTTTTTTAATTCTAAAAAACCTTTTAATAACTGAATTGTATTTGCAAAAATTAACAATTCTTCTACCTTGATATCACGATGTATTTGTCCACTGCTATGGAAATATTCCAGTCCTCGCAACACTTCCTTTAGGACGGTAGCAATAGTTACTTCATCTAAAACACCTGATGAAGCCGCTTCTTTTCCCATTGCCTAAAATGAAAATAATCAAAAAAAAAAAAAAATCTTTAAATTAAAATGTACAAAATCTGATTATACTAATCAACGAATTATATATGTATGTACTAAAAATTTATTACAAACTAAATTATCAATAACCTAAATTAATTAATGGAAATATTTAAATCAAATAATAACTGACATTCTATTTCTTCATAAGCATATCTATCTACCTTTATACGTCGTTTCAGAATATCAAGCATACTACCACAATTGAGAAGACGCATGACAACCCATAATTCTTCGCCAACAACAAATGATGTGTGATACATGACAACATTAGGATGCATACATAATGCCATCGCCTAAATAATAACGAAAAAAAGGATGAAACATAATATGATAAAATATGAATAACCAATGTACTACTATGGATGGATTTTATGGAAGTATCAATCAGATAAGTCTTCTTTTTCTTCTTTTCTTGTTTTATGCAATATCTAAACTTGCATAATTTCTTACACCTTAGTAGCCTGTTTACCCACCACTCCCAACAAGTTTCGTTTACATTTATTTCATGGAAGAGCTCGTCGACTGACGTTTGACATTTCTCGAGATTAATGCATTTAATAGCACATAACTCATTTCGTGGAATGCATAATGCCTGAAAATTACAACCTGTAAGTATATTTCATTAATACAATCAAAAGAAAATATTGCTTAAGGATAAGATTTAACTTTTAAAAATATATATATAAGCAGACACAAACATACACATACAATCCCTATAATTTCTAGTCTTTAACTCAGTTATATCTTTTTTTGACTATGTTTTAAAATAAAAAGAGAATTCTTTAAATATTGTTAAAGTTATTAAAAACATATTAAATCAAATAAAACGTTAAAAAAGAAAAAACAAACAAACTTTGTATACAGTAGCCGTTGCACCAATTCCAATAGAATCCTCTAATTTGTAATCTTCCTTTTTATTTGGCCAAATGGTACCACTGGCGCCCTCATCTGGTGGATGATTTGTACTCATCCAGAGTAGTTCTGAATCATTTCATTTGATAGAAAATAAAATTTGTTATTAATACTATAAAGAATTCATTTTCTTACGACAATATTAATCAATCATAGAGTGAAATATTTCATGCAAATAATTGAAGCTTTAAAATCTCACGGAAAAAAGAAACAGTCATTTTCCGCTTCTTAAAAATTCTCAGAAAAAAAAAGTAAACGGTTAAAGTAATCAAATTCAAATGATTATTTCAAAATGAGAATTTTGAATTTATCTTATTACAGCCTTCTGAAATGCTAGTCTGATTAAAGCAATTCACGTAGAAAAATATTTAATAGGTTCTAATATAACGATACATTTAAAGCTTTTAGCAGTTTTTAAATTAATTCAAGCATAAAATTTCTATATAACAAAAAAAAAAAAAGCATAAAAAAAAAACAAAAAAACTAATTCTGAGGTTCGAACTTCTTAAATTTTCTAATGTAAATAATCCATCTTTTATTTTCCTCGATTTTCTGCATTATTTTTCAAAACATTTAGATAACGAAAAAAAAAAAAAAAAAAACTTTTTTTTACATTTCCTAAAATTTATTATTAAGAAGTTAATATGTGTATATGGTAGATTAACCTTGTAACAAAATAATTATAAACAATTTTACGAATAATACCGAAATTTTCTTTATTACTTGATCACAGGACGAGCAAAAATAGCAATGACAGCTATGAGTGATAAAATAACTTGAAAAGTGATAAATTTTAACACAACGATAAGAAGGAGAAAAAAAGAAAAACACGTAAGGCTTAACACATAATAAAAGATATAAAATATTTATAGGAACAGAAACTTTATATACAATAGAAATTATCAAAAAATATTCCAAAAAAAAAAAAAGGAAGTAATATTCATATGCAACATAATGGAAGAAAAAAATAATAAAAGAAAACGATACAGTAGCAGAAAATATCATTGTATATGAGAGATAATTAATTATGATGAAAATAAAAATGGAAGAAAATCATTGCTATGACCTTGGCCGAAACATTATGACCGTTTTCATTAACAGTTAAGATCTGCCTAAAAGAATATCTGTCTCTCATCTCACTTCTCAATCATTAGTTGAAGATTCAATCAAGAATACTTTTTTTTTTCTTTTATCAGTATTCTTGATCAGAAAAAAAAAATTATATACTTATCAGTGTGATAAAACCCATAACTTTTTTTTTTTTTTTTTTGCTCATTTAAATTAATTTTTCCAATATATTAATTTAAAAACGTACATACAAAAATACCATTAACAAAAAGTAGAGAGAAAAAGAAAGAGAAAACTAAAAAAAAAGTATATATATATATAAATTAAAATATATAAAATGAAAAGCTTTTTTTTTTCTCCTCCGAAATAAACTTTCACAAATTTTATTTCTTTCCTTGAAAAGTTAGCCTTAAAAAAAAGAAGGAGAAAGTAGTTTAGCATAATAAAATTATATTCATAACTTCATAACTTAACAAATACCTTTCATAGAGAAAAAAAAAAAAAAAAAACCTTTTCAATACCGCTAATAATTACCACACTTTTCTCTCTTCTTTTTCTCTCTATACCCTTCTGCACTTCCCATATTCACCGGAAATAAGAGATGTGAAAACGGATCACCTGACTCGTTGCTACTCCACAAACTAATCAACAACTTTTTTTATTATCTCATAATATTTGTTTAGCTTTTTTTTCTTTACTTTATATTTTTGCTAATGTAAATTTTCAAAAATTATCTCAATTATCTCACTTTCCTCTTTCATTAATTCAAATCATTATTCCTTAACTAAGGACAACATTTTAAAATTAAATTATAATAACCACTTAACTAATCTCTGTTCATAAATTTAAACATTGCCATCAAACTAACAAACAGTGAACATCATTATCATCACCTATTATTATCATTATTATTCAGTATGAAAAAAAAAAAAAAAAAAATAACTAATTTGCATTTTATAATGATTCAACAAAAAAAAAATTCAAAAAAAAAAAAAAAAAAAAATGAATTCCACTTTTTTTTCTATTGTCATTTCAATGGAATGTACTTGACAATTTGTTAAAAATGCCTAAGAAAGATAGTTGTACCTCATAATATTATTCCACCATATCGAATGAAAGAAAAATTCATTATCACATTTCAAAAAAAAAAAAAAAAAATGGAAAAGATGCAAAAACTTTTTTGCATTATAAAATATGAAGAAAACAATTATTCAGTTAATGAGAGATAATTTTTTTTAAAAAAGGAAAGAAAAAATATGGAAAATAATGGTAAATAATTCTTGCATTTATATAATTAACTTATAGATAGACAAGAAAAGTGAATAAAAAGTAATTTTTGTGTTGTATCATCATTGAAAAAAGAAAAAAAAAAAAAGAAGACAACTTTCAGCTAGCTTTGTTTCATCTAATTTTTAATCTTATCTTTAAAGTCATTTCTGTTTTCTTTAAAATGATGATAAAACAACTTACAGCAAAACGTTATTTGCTTTCTTTGCTTTATTTTGAATAAAAATATAATCTCTAACTTTTAGCTGTAATTGAAATACTTATTTTTTTGCAGTAAATTCGACAACAAAACAGTTAGTTTCTCACTATCAAAACACTATTAAAATGAGCTAGTTTAAATGAGCATAAAAAAAAAATCTAAGGAATCTAACTACCATCGTTTAGACCAAGTTGATCCTAAAGTAAGTTAATTAAAAAAAATAAATAAATAAAAATCATGATAAATAAATTATCAGTGATTAATTAAATTGTTGTTGCATTTTCTACTGATAATGATGATATTATTGTTTTGGTTAAAATCATTGCGTATCCAATGCTTGTTCCAATAAAGCTATTTGTGCCTGAAAATAATTCATTTACTATCGAATGTTGTATTTAAACGATAACAATCGACAATTTCAATAATTAATCAAATAGAAGCAAAAAAAAAAAAAAAACACAGAGCACTACAACAATGATCTTTTTTGCAACCACATGAATGAATAATGGAAATACAAAAAATGATTAAATCTCAGTGAAATTGACATCATCAACGGCATTAATATGGGTTTGATAGATCATTATGAAGTGAATAAAAATAGAGCATAATAAATTCAAACAACTTCAGCACTCACTCGAAATTCAATTCAACAACGGTAATTCATTTTTGCAGGAAAAAAAAATGGAATCTACTAAAATGAAAATATTGTTGAATAATTTTCACATAAATGACATCAAAAAAATGAAATCAGTAAAAGAAATACCTAATATATGAACTTATGTGAGTGAAAATAAAATTAAAAAGAAAAAAAAAAGACAGAAAACTAAGCGATATGAGGATAAGGACAATACAATATAAATAACAATTACAGAAATACTTAAATAGCAGAGAAAATTACGATCCTTTTTTAAGTATTTCACTTCCTAAAGTTAAAAATACCATACTAAGACAACAGTAAAAAAAAAAAGTTAGCTTTAAAGAGATTTTGATTTATGATTGTTACCTTAGCATGTTTAATCTGAAGATCAGCCAGATCGGTTAAATTCTTCTTGAACGCAGTCAATCGTCTCTTCTTCAAATCCAACAATTCGCCTTTTGCAACTTCACTAATATCTTCAAATTTCTTGCAAGCTTCACTTTGCTCCGCTTCCGCCTAAACAATTTTGTTAACTTGATGTTTAAAAAAATACAATCAATCATTGTAAAACTCTGTGAGAAATTTCGAATCCATTTTAATCCATGTAATGAAAAAGACTTGTATTCGAATGGTTTCAAAGAAAAGTGGATTCGAAATTCATTGATTAATTTCAAACTTTAAGAATTAAAGAAGTATTAATGAAGAATTAAATCCCAGTATATTTTACTTACAACCAGTAAAAAATGCAACAGCATATTCAGTCACATCAAATATAGATTATTCAAATTCTATTCAAACAAAGGTACGCCTTAATAATTTCATAAATAAAATAGGCCTTAAAACAAATTCTTAATGATCTTTAATCATAATAAAACCAGATTATTTTGAAAACGTTGTTATTTGACTTAATGATTCAAAAATGTTAAAAGAATATGAAAAATACCCGTGGTATATCTTTATTGCGTCCCCTAGCACGCTCTAAAGTTTTGTTTGCTCCTTCATAGTTTGCCAAACAACGCATCCTACGATACAGAAGGTCCTACAGCAAAAACAAGTAGTTCGTAAAAAATTAAAAAACAAATAATCATTAAAAGTTTAAATCATAAACACGCATTAGAGTTCTTAGAAAAGCCAAATGACTAAGTAATAATTGTAACCCATCGATGCTATTAAAATCGTATTTTTACTACAAAAAAAAAAAAATTTTAACTTTTGCCCTTAGTTGTACAACAATAATTATATCATTACAGTCAAAAATGATGCAAAAGATCAGAATTTCAAGAGAACGAATTAAAATTTTAAGCAACTTTAAAAAAATTGAAATCCTTTCAATACATATAGTTTCAACATCTAAGATCTATTAATTTATTACCTTAGCTGCATCTGTATCTTTCATATAGTATTGAAGAGTATCACCCAATTTTAATTCCTCATCAGTCGCTACTCGACTCTAAAAATATTCAGAATATTTCAGTAACCAATGCCAAAACTACCGGAATCAACTCAATTATTTAAATGATTATTTCAATTTGCTTTAATCATGTAAAGTGGAGTAAATTAGGTTAATATAATTGGTTACAAAATATAAATATATAGTTGAATTTCATAATTAGAGAAACAAATATTACAAAACAACAAGAAATACTTTCATTAGTGCTAAAGATATATGAATGTTAAAACAAGAGGTCAATCATCTCACCTCATGTTTCTTTAGTTTTTCGAAAGTGAGTGACCTTCGTACCAAATCTTTTTGCAGGTCACGATCCAACTCCTGCAGCGCCATTTTTTCAAGACATGAACCAATTCGTGCATATGAATCAGCTATGTCTGGAAAAAAATTTCAACAAAAATTTATCAAACATTTAACAGTGTTGTTTCTTACAGAAAAAGGAAGAGAATTTTCATTTTTTTTTTTTTTTTTTTCTTTTTTAGATAAAATAAATTACATCTGCGGGTTGTTAGGATAAAATGATCACACTAGGATGATAATACGATATATAATATCGATTTCTTCATCAATTCTCAGCAGTATTAAATGAGAGAATTTTAAAAGCTTTTCCTCTTTTAAATAAGATTACTCTTCTCTTATAAATAGCAATGCAAAATATATGACTATAATTCAAGCTTCTTGTACAGCAATAAAAGTAGTTCGCTCACAAAAAAATTAAAAAAAAACTCCGAATAGTTTTGATTCTTTTTCTTTCTTTTTTTTTTTTTTTTGGGAAAAAAAAAACATAAAAATGTTATTCAAAATGCTTTTAAAAAATTACAAATACTTCAGTGCATTTAAGGCCTTCGAAATTGCTAAATGTAAATGTCCAATATATAATATAAAAGCATATTTGAGAATTAATTAATAGCAACATTCTATCATCTGCTTATCATCTTACAAATCTAATTTACAATTTAAAGAATAAAATCAACCAATAGAAAGTGTTTCGTACATTATTTAACAGATGATAATTTTATGAATAAATAAGTTCCAATTGTTGAATTGCCTATTTTATGCTTACTTATCAATGAAACTTATATGACATTTTTGCACTTTTTCCTCTCTGTTCGTTTATCTATAAAATGGTGCTTACGCATTATTTTGCGTCAATTCACCATTAAATAAATACTAGGATGATAAGATAAGGAAAAAAAAAAAAGAATTCTTCATTAGATGATAGTTAAATTGTTTGATAAATCTAAAAAATCTCCTCATTTTTATTTTTCTTTTACAAAGTACCTTAAAAAAATTAAGCGAATAATACTTCTCAGAGAATTATGTATAATGATAAAATAGAGAAAAAAAAAAGTGAATACACTAGAAATGAAAAAAAAGAAAAAGTATAGAAAAAATGTAAATCGTTAAGAAATAATTCAAAGATTGCATAATAAAATAGAAAAAAAAAAAATGAGAGGTAAAAAAAATTGATGAATTATTAATTTAATAATGATAATGATATATGATGATAAAAAAATATTTTAAAAAATAGAAAAAAAAAAAAAAGAAAAATGACACACAACATCACTTCGTTTCAAAAAAAGAAAAATGAGCTATAAAAAAGTAACATAAATTGATGCACCATTTTAGAGAATAGCAATTTAAATATTATCAAATATATAATTTCCCATATTTATAAGATCATCAGAACTATTTATTATTACACAATCAAAATGAAAATGATAAAAATGTTATTATAATATTATGAATTTAAATAATGACGAAAATAACATAAATCTGAAAGAGTAATCGAAATACTCAACAAATAATACTTTTCAGAGATGAATAGTTAAGATTAAAAGACTAAATGAGAGAGAGAGAGAGAGAGAGAGAGAGGGAGAAAGAAAAGAAGTAACTGAAAAGATTGATATTTGATATTTAAAAGGTTGAAATCAACAATTTACTTGATTTTTGAAACTAGAAAATCATAAAATAAAATAAATGAAATTGATAAAATTTAACTAACTCATAAATGCATACATCAAATATATCTACCATATACTTTTCTTTCTTTCGTTTTTTTCTTTTTTTTTCTTGAACCAAGCAAGATTAATGTTACCTCGTTCTTTAAATTAATGTGTTTCTCCTCTTTCTTTCAGACTTCAAATTTCCGCAATTATTTTCTCTCTTCCTCTCTCTCTCTCTCTCTTTCTTTTTACGATCTTTACAATGCAAATACATCAATTCTACTTACAACTTCGTTCATAAAAATTAAATCATAAAAAAAAAAGAAGCAAAAGCAATACCAAAAGAATAGATGAATGAAGAGAGAGGAAGAGAAAGCAAGAGAGAAGAAGAGAAATGTTACAAAAATAAAAAGTGTAGGAGAGAAAAAAATAAAATGGTCTCGAGCATCTTTACAAAATTTGGAATGCTATAAAAAAAAGTTTGAAAATGTTCTTTCATTCTTTGTAAGAAAAAAGAAAAAGGAAAAAAAAAAAACCTCAATAAAGATCAATAATCATTAGCAAATCTTTTTTCAAAATATAAGTGAATAAACAAATATTTGTAAAGTAAACAGTATTGTTAGAAATAAGGAAGTAATTGTACAGATAACATGAATATTATTAATAATATTATTTATTAAATTTGTAGATTTCTAAAATAAAATCTAATACAAAGTTATGTTTATATTAATGATGAAACAATGAAACATCATTACTCAAACTTAAAAACTTTGTAAACCCACAAAATTATTTGCTACTTTCAATTCTACCTTAAAAAAAAAAAAAAAAAAATCTTAAGCGACAAATATAATAAGATAAATTTGGTATTAATAATAAGATGAGCTAATGTCTCAGTAAAAATGATAATGAATTTGTTCGATGAACATAGGATAGATGAAACAATGAGAACATATTTAGTACAGTAATTGTGCCTCACAGATACGCAATAATTATTCGATTAATAATTGGTGACATAATAATAAATTCTTTTTTCAAGTTGAAAAATAAATAAGCAAAATTAATTGAAATGAAAAAAAAAAAAATTTCTGCAAAAATTTTAATACAATGGATAGGAATCCAAAATGTAGAAAATAATTTAAAATATTCATGTAACAAATATCATTGGTTGCGATAATTTAAAAGAAAAAAAATTTGCAAAATTACAATGATACAAAAGAAAAAGTAAAGAAAGAAAAACAAAATGGAGTAGAAAGATTAGGAGAGAGGAAGGAAACGAAAGTAAATGATTATCACGAAGTGCATATCTGAAAAGAATTTTAGTAAATTGTTACTGAAATGATATTTTGCAAAAAAACACAGATAAAAAAAGAAACGAATGGAAGAAGAAAGGAAAGTTTTGCAAACAAATTTTTTCAAAAATAAAATACACAATTTTGTAAAATATAACCGATACTCAAATTAAATCTTCTCTACAAAGCATAAGTGATATTCGATAAATCTATTTCATTACCATCATTTTCCTTCTTTATGAACCAAAGAAAAAAAAAAATTTTTTTTTTTTTTGAGGGAAAAGAAATAAAAACGAAAGTAAAGATGAAATCAGAGAACAAATGTATAATCATAGAAAGATGAAAAAAGTTAAAGTTGCAAGACAATAAGTCTTACTTAGCCATAATTAATTTCCAAGGATAAATCTTAAATCATTTTAGGAATTTCTTTTAATATTACTTCGGAAAAAAAGATGCACAGTACAGAATTACTTCATTTATCTACAATTAATAAATATTCCTAAGAACAAAAAAAGTAAACAAAGATAGAAAAAAAAAAAAAACAATGAATCACCTCCAACTCAAAAATTTTCCTATATAAGGCAAAAAGAATGTACTATCTTTGTTTTTCAATAAATTATTAATAATTGGTATGAAAAAGTTGAAAACATCAAAACAAGCAATGATAAGCACAGTGATTAAAAGATTAAAAATAAATCAAAAGATGAGATATTAAAAGTATTTTTTTTTTTTTTTGGATACGATAGAAGTTTAATCCATTCTCTCATCTGAAAATATAATCTAAAAAAAAGAATTTTACACGATGATTGGAAAAAAAGGAAGCTAGATAACTAATAGATCAATGAGCAAATTATTCGAAAAGAATGTAATAGAACAAATTATAAGCAATATTCTGAACAAACAATTCATTGCAAATCTAAAGAAAATAAGGCTCGTCACATACTTCACATGAATGTTTAACAAGGAATAAATTAAACATCAACGATTAAAATGAATTTAAACATCATTTTTTAAATTCTTCATGAAATCGTTTCTAAGATATCTATAATTTCATGAATTTATAATTTTGGATAAACAGAACTTAAAACGTCATAATAAACTGCAAATTTTTATTTTACACACAACTGTAAGTGATAAGCACTTATTTTTGTTTAAATAATCAAATATTAATGATAATGATAAGGCCTCGGCGGATAAAATATTTCACTTTTTGAAACTTTAGAGGTTGTGAATTAGATTTTCTTTTTTACAAGTAATTTAGTAAATCAAATCAGCAAAGAGGAAAAATTTCAAGATTACATAAGTGTTAAAACGACTAATAGATTACCATAATTATTGGAGCTAACCAGAATAAAAAATGAATTAGTCGGAGATTCTATGAAAAACAAACGAATAAAACTGGAAACTAACTTTTACGAAGTCGTGAAATTCTGTCACATCTTGATGAAGCTTCCTTAACATGAGTATAATACTCAACCAAATAGTTCCGCTCATGTTCAAAGAAATCATCGACATCTTTCTACAAAAAAGAAACTATAAAATTATAATTATTCAACCATCTTTTTCCCATTACTTATCAGGCATAAAAATCGGATAGATAAGATCTGAGAAAACTACGAATCTAAACAATAATTCACTATGCATTAATACTTTTGATATGTTGAGAACCATAACATAAAAGAAATAAAACATAATATTATGCATTTTCTCCTACCTGCCCTGACAGTAATACTTCGTCGGCAGATTGTGTTAATCGTTTCCAAAACGATCCAACAAGTTCCTTTTTATTTCTTGAACGAACCGAAAGCTAAAACAAGAATACAATATAATAAACCAGTTTGTCATGTGAGTTTAAAAAAAAAAAAAAAAAGAAACATACACATATAAAAAAGTTTTGTGAACGATTTATTATCTGTTAACTGCTATCAATCATAACAATTTTATTCTTTGTGTTTTTATGCTAAATCCATCTATTAAGCGATATAAAATGTCACAGATTGATGGGAAATGTAACAGATCTTTTTCCAGTCTCAATTATCAGATGATAACAAACATTTCATCAATTTCTCATTAAATGATAGCAATTTTTATAACAGTTGTGAAATAATGAAATAATCACAAATTCATTAGGTTGAAAAAGTTCAATATTTGTAAGAACACTTACATCTTGTTCATATTCTAAGAAGATTCGGAAATTAGGATCATTCCTTAAAACCGGATGTGCCGCAAGACGACAAAGAAACACCTCATGCATGGCAACCGTCTTCTTGAATGTTGCAAGATATTCTCTGAAGCTTTGATGACTCGAGTAATTTAATAACAACTAGTTATCTTGAAAAGTAAACATCAGGTAATCGACTACGAAAAAAAAAATCTCGAAATGATTTATTATTTCTTAAGCGGCATTTATAAAAAAGAAAAAAGTATTCACCAACAAAAAAAAAACCGAAATTTTTGGAAAGAAAACAGTCTAAGTATGAAGCTTTCTTCTTTCTTCTTCATCTTTCGCTACCACTATGAATTTTAAAAGTTATTGTCAATTACACTAATGACTAGCTTACTGCTCCAATTCTTGTTTCATTTTGAGAAATTCATCTTTAGTCATCGTTGATTCACCTTCACCTAATCTTTGAAGTTTTTCACGTGATGCATCGAAATCCGGTCGTGGTGGTGCTGGAGGAATCTGCAAACAATTTCAATCATAAATAGCTAAGAAACCGCAAATAATAATAAAAAGAATAGTACGTTTTTCACAAAATATTGCTACTGTAATTTCAAATAATTTGATACTGAAACATACAATAAAACCTGCATATGCTTCATTTTCTTCTAAACATGTATGCAACCAAATAAATTCCTCATGTTCTCGTACAACGCTGACTTCATTTTTTGAAAAATCCAAAAGTGTTGTCCTTGTATGAACAGTATATTTCACCTAAATTAGCATCATCCCAGAAAAAAAAAAAGCAAAAATATATACAAAAAAGTTGATTTCAAGACTGCATTAAAATATCTAAATTTGTTTAAAAAAAAAAAAAAAAAAAAACCCTTTTTGAACAAATTTTAACAAAATATAAACAAAACAACATGAATGGTGCTTAATATACTCTTTATTTCATATATATAAGTTTTGCATATACCTAATTATTATTATATTACTGTTCACTTAAATTAATTAGATATTTGGTTCACCAATTATTATTCACTTGGAAAAAAGACATAAAGTGACAAATATAAAATGAAAATAATAAGCATAACACCTACCTTATCTTTTTCAGAAAGTGCATCCGAAATATCAACAATTAGACTATTATCTTTCGACAGATCAACATTAATTTCTTCGGTACGATGCTATTAAAAAGAAAAAATTGTTTATTTCAACTTTTATCGTTACACTACATATCAATTATATATACAGTGATTAGCACAGATGATACATGTGCTATTTTGAAGTTTCACAAATGATTTCAAATGAAATTAAGGAAAATAATTAACGACAAAATCCAAATATCATATTTTGTTGAATAAATTAGTTAATTAAATAAACAAAGCAATTTTGCCCCCAAAAAAAAATTCAAAATTACAATTATCAAAGCTATGAAAAGTATTTGGAAAAAATTTTGTAAATTTATTTTGCAAACAAAGAAATTCCAATTCTTTGTTTATTAGACAAACTGCTCATCGATGAAATAAATCAAACTTACAGTTCTTTCGTCCAAAGCATCACCATCTTCCAATGAAGTTGATGTTTCATCATTTTTTCCAACATCTTCATCACTACTTAACAAATCTAATGGATTTGCGATTGTTGTTTCACCTTTTCCATTCATAATTTCAGCCATATTATTCACCTTGTCTTTCTCACTACCTTTACAATTACGATTTCTTTCAGCAAAATTAATTTTTAATCATATTATTCATATATAAACAAGAAACCCAAATAATTAAAACCTGGACCAAATTTAAATTCAAGAGTCGAATTACTTCAAATCAAAAGTTCTTTCATGCCATTCTCAATAAAACATATGCATGTGAAGATGGATAAATTAAAACTAAAACATCAAATAAATCGCATAACATGATCGTATGAATAAATTTACAGGAACCAAAAAGAAAAAAGTGAAATTAAATGCAGTAATCTCGATGAAGTAAATTAAGTAAAGAAGTAAATCGATTAAAAAAAACCAAATGTCACACTCCATAACTGACTTCTTCGATAACATCAATCATAAGCAACATGAAACATCAACTTAGCACACTAGAACCTATCTTTTCCATTTAAAAGTTTTTGATCTTTAATTTTTAAAATTTTGCCAATTAAAAAATTTGCTGAAAATTAATAAAACAAGGCTATATTTGTAAGCATACTATAATAGTATTCTGAATAGATCAAATAATAACAGTGGAATAATTAAAAGCCTTTTTCTATCTGTTTCGTTCTCTTAAAAGAATTTTATAATTTATCGTAGACTTTTCACATCATAAATAATTCCACTCCATTTATCATAACTACGCTGATAACATGTGAGAGAACTCAGATATACAATATTGCATAAATAAAATGTATTTACTCATCTTTAAGATGAATTTTAAACATTTTGGTATCGAACTTTGACAAAACATAAATATGCAATTACTTAATTAGCAGTTTATAATGTAATCACATAGTTTAGCATTAAATTTACTAAATTAACGCATTCATATATGTCAAACGTGTTACCAAGGACTGTAAAACAATCCTAATATTTCTAATCTGAAATATTTTTGGTTAACAAATGTGAAAATCAGATAAATCATTATATTATATAAGACAATAGAAATATGTAATCCTAATAATTCTAATTTGGAATATTTTTTGCTAGCGTACGTGAAAATCAAACATGCCGTTACATTACATAGGAAAATATAAAACATATAAATGACGACGGGACGCGACGTCATGTATTTGTGCCACATTGATTTGGTCGGAATAATATTTTCAAACCTTTCTATTAAATTTTCAAATGATAATTTGAAATGAAAACAATGCTTTGTGATACTTCCATTTATCTTCTCATTCTTTTTTCTTTTTTTGTTTCTTTTGAATATCTTTTGACCTTTCTAATTTATAACCTTTACATATCATATTTTGATTATATTTTTATTATTACCTTTTCCAATCTTTTTTGTTTCTTATTTCTTTACATTTTCCACATCTTTCTATTTTACTTTCATGATCTTTTTCTCTTTAATATTCTTGTTATATTTCATTATTTTTCAGAAGTAATTTTCATTTGGTTTTACAAATTTTTAGTTTTTCACTTTTTTCTTTGTTTTTTTTTTTTTTCTTAAAAAATATTGTTTGTGTTAGAAATGAAACGATACCATACTAAAACTTTGATGGCTTTCTTAAATTTCAAGCTTATTATTGTAGAAACATTAAAAACAGAAAAACGATTGCAGGCTAATGAACATAACTGATGATTCTGATACGGACGTATACGACAAACCTAAATTTAATAGTACTGTACTGGGATTGGATGAGCGATCATATATACGAGAAGAGAGCGAAAATACCCGACAGAATGGTAATTACTTCTAGTCTTCATTTTTTTTTTTTTTTTTTTCACAATTTTAAAGTTTTCTCAATTAGTGAAAGATGTCAGATTTTTATTGATTTAATCTTGATAATTTAAATTTTCATTCAAATTTCTTTTTTATTTACAAACACTTTCACAACGCATTGTTTTTTGAAGCATTTATAGCTCTGAAATTATCTCCGATTCCGAAAGATCAAGTGCAGTTCATAGGTTCCAATTGCAGTTTATTATCGGAGCAACAACGCTTTCCTAATTCCGAAGAATGCTCGGAGCTTCAAGATTCTGACACAAAGGTTCTTTTTATATGGAATTTCTTTTTTCCAGTTATTAAATTCCAAAAACAAATTTGAGAATCTTAAATGTTTATTTTGACTACATATATAGTACGGCGAAAGGAAAGCCAAAAACAATATTATTTCGCTGTTACTTTTATCAGAAACTGTGCTATTATTCACGAATGTTGTTTTTGACGTACTTATTAACAGCTTGGTAGATTTGAATTTCATTTAAGACTTTGAAAGTTAGATAGCTTAATACTAAAATTTTTTTGGCAATTCTGTGTATAATTTTGTTTCAGGACATCCGCTTGAGGATAAAGTAATTTTCAGGTTAAAAAAATAAAGCTTAGAGAGGATGCATCGCCATCATTTATAGAACCAAATTCTAAATCTTCTGAAGCTGGTAAAGAAAATATAGAAATAACTGCTTTGGAATCCAACATTCTTTCTGAAAGATCGATTCGACTGAAGTTGGTTAAAATTTATTCATTTAATTAAAGTGATATTTCAGCAGTATATAATTCATCAGGATTTTTTCAAATTTTATTGGACCATATTTCATTGATTTGTTTCATTTTTACTTAAGGAATAATAGTACTACACGTTCTCATATAACAAATCCATTCGATAGTGATATGGGAAGCCTTTGTGCAACCACATACAGTCCAAGTCTTTTTAATAACTCTAAGGTTAGCTTTTCTTTATTTATATGGTTATTGTTTTTAAATTTTCTAAATCTTTCAAATATTTTTTTAATATTTATCAACTTTTTATTTATTTTTTTTCAGAGAAATATAGAATGTGAAACTCCAGAAAAATCATTTCGTTGGTCAATTGGACAAATGGCAGATTTTCATCCGGCGGTTATTGATGAAGCTGAATCGATGTGTCAAACACCGTTGGTTTCGTTCGTTTTGCTTTCCAAATAACATCATTTCTTTAATAAACAAATAACTCAACGAGAATCAGAAAACTGCACAATGGCATTCTTTTCAGGGATCCAGTTGAAGACGCTCAAATGAATAAAGCTATTGATAAATTTTGGGCATCCCAAAAATATGTGTTGCCATCTCCTTATTTTGTACGTTTTCTTCATGATTAATATTAGTGGAAGTTTATTCTGTATCCTCGCATCAACCAAATAGCAATTTCGCGAAACATAATGATAATTGGCATCTGATTTTATCTCATTTCGATGTGCGTAAAGTCCTCTTAAAATAACTTGCAGAATATTTCAAATAAGAATTTTTGTATTTTTATTTTATACGAAAAGAAATCAAAATAATTTGAGAGAAATGTGAGGACTTTTACATGTTATGCCATCTAGGATTGGCTTAATAAAGTCTTCATTTAAGATGAAAGGATCAGCTAAATCAGAACAAGACAGTAGTCCAAGCATGATAAGGAGATCACGAGCTTTGGTATGTTGAATTCGTATTTGTAAACTGTACATGCTGAAATATGGTATTTCTATCTGGAACATGACGATTTTATGCATAATTTTTATCAGTTATATCAAAATATGGCATGTAAGACTGGCATGTTTTATTCACATTAATATTGTTTTGAATGCTTTTTTTAGCTGTTAAAGATTCTGTTGAATGTTAGGATTTTTACAGGTGCAGGAATCTCCGCTTGCTCGGCCTGTTCAATCAGGACGATCTGTTGAAGTGCAGACTATGTTTACGTTTCCACCAAACCTTGACTTAATAGGACTTCTAGGTTGTTTATTCACAAATATATGTTAATATCTTTGAAACGAAATAAGAAAAGGAGCGCAATAATAGAGCAAATATTAGTTTTGTTATATCAGTATCATTATTTTTTACTTTATATTTAAGATTATTTTAGCGTTGAACTGTCTAACTCAACATATAACATCAGTTAATGAATTTCTGTATTTTACTTTAGGTTTTTTTTAGGCAAATGCTTTCAGTATGAAGAAGGTGAGGTGCCGATTTTTGAAGCAAACTTATCACTGAATACATTGCGTCGTAAGCTTTTCCTCGATGCATTGTCGTCTGAAATAAACACCGAAAATGAAGATGAGAGTTCGATAGCAATGACTGCCGATGACAACTACAACGACCAAGAACCGTTTGGCCATGAACGTCCAGCATGGTATCATCCAGTAAGTCTGTTGTATATTTTGTGTGAATTAATATTAGAATTTAGTATTAATCAGTTGTTGTTCAGAATGATGAGATAATATCAACAAGGAAAGTTTCATCTGATGGTATTATAAATCCAAATCAAGAGGGCGAAATCAATAATCGTTTGCTTTCTCCAGACATTTCACCAATAAAAAATTAGTTAATTTTATATATTCACCCTTTTTTTGAAATACAAATTTAAAATATTCTAGTGTTAAGAAGTTTTTAACAGATTGCTTAGGAATGTTATTTTTGCATTGTTGAAAAAGTTAATAGTTACTAAACCATTTTGCATGAACTCAGCTTATAATAGTTAAACTTTGAAGAATGCTGTCAGGCCAGGTCTTGCTGATGAAAAAACCACCAAATGTAATGCTCCTATCAGCTAAGAAGAAATCAAATGTCATGAAAAAATTAAGTATGTTTTTTGTTGTACAATTCTCCGAGATCATGAGAAAAAAAGAATAAAATTTAGGGCACGCATAAATGTGTTACTTATTAAATTCTATTTATTAAATACAGATAACTTCATTATTACTTACCAAGCAATTTGTTAAAGATTTACAAATGTTCGCATAAATTACTACTGATACAGTTTAGGTGCAGTAATACCAGCAACATGTATCAGAAACCGTATGCTTACACATTAATTTTAAATTAGCTGGTCGATTACACTACTACTATATAAAATGAAATGCCTGCAATATACTTGAAAAATTAAAATCAACTCAGAACAATGTTGTAAATGAGAAAGTGATTAAACCGTAAAAATTACAAACCAAAATTGTTTAATGGGAAAATTCGAACTTATGTGATATAATAAAATCTATCTTTCGGTAACTGCAACTTATACATCTTTCATTTTACTTAGTATCCTGCAACAACTTCTCAAATTTCATATTAACCCGTGTAGACATTCTTGACTACCAGCTTGAAATAATTCAGAGAAATTTCTGAACTGGACTAAATAACATTAGATACGCGTATTCATCAAATAGCAACTTATAAAAGTACTTTAGAAAAACGTATTTATAAAACTTCCACATGGAAAGATAGAAAATGAAGCTGAACAACCGTAAAAGTATAAGCAGTACGAAAGATGATGCTTTTCCAATTCACTATTTTCATTAAAATCAAACTAACTTTAAAATTAGAACTGAAGGAAATAATGATGAACAAATAGTCTTAGCAATAGAATATGTGAAGCACCTTTAAAATCAATCAAATTTGCCTTGAAATGATATGTTCATTATCGTTCTCGTGATGCCCCGTACTGCACCAATAAATATCACAACACTACAAAATAAGAAATCACCGAGATGAACAGCTATTAAAAAAAAAAAATTGCTTTTCAAGTTTCCAGCATTACCTGACAAAAAAAGAACAAAGAAATAGGGAATTGGCTACTGCTGTATCCTTTCAATTCTAACATTAAAATTATTTAATAATGGGAACGATAAGCAAATTTGATGAAAGTTTTTCAAAATTATGAAATGATCGAATTTCTTATGTAAAATAGTAAAAGGCCAAATTGTTGGCATCTTGAAACAAAAGAGAAAACTTATGAAAGGATTGCAGTGACAAGCATAACATATTAATACGCAATTTATCCAAATGTTAGCCTCAATTTCTTGTAGCGGACAAACACATTACTACAAAAATTAAACAAACTATGACACAAAACTAATCAATTGATAACAGAAACAATACCAATACTTCTCTAGCAAAACCCGCTTCTTGAAGACTAGATATATTAATTCAAACTACAGTTCCACTGAGATTTACTGGGATCGGTGAATTCACTGAGTGTCGCTGCATCACTGCCTTAAATTTGATTATTTTAAAGTCCTTTAATTGGCATAATTCCTTATTTTTAAAATTGAAATAATTTCATTTTACTAGCCAAGAAAAATATATCTCATTTCATATATATGCCATCTGACTGCATGCAACTTAAGCTTCATAAACACCGAAAGGTTTGATATTTACTACGACAAATAAATAGTGTGAGAAATGTAATACACAAAATTTTCAAGGTAAGCGATTGTTGGGAAAACAATCGCTGATATTTTTCGTAAAATATTAGTGGAGAAAGAAAAAAAACTTTACGGTTCAGAAAGACATTTCATAGTACCTTGCCTGGTCGAGCCCAAGTTAATATGAAACCTTCTTGACATGCAGTTACCACGCAATCTTCACGAAATATTAATCCCGTTAATCGTTCATGAGCGATTTTCTTGCAAATCAGTGGTTCAATTATAGCTATTTCTTCCATTCGTGGACATACCGGTGTTCCCAAGAATTTCGCTGAATTTTCTTTATCTTTCTCATTTGCTACAGCAGTTGAATGATTTCTGTTCCACCTATAAGAAAGTTCAGAATTTAAAAAATTTTTCTTTGTGTTTCAATTAATTTTTTTCTTTTCATATGTATTTGATAATGTGAAAGTAGCGTGTCTCATATTCTCTCTTTTTTTCGCCTTCATACATATAATTTACCTCTCATGTGAACTACCAGTCAATTTCGCAGCAAAACTAAAACCGCGTTTGTGTTTTTTCTCTTTGCCATGTGGTCGTTCTCGAATGTCAACAGTCGCAGGTTTTGCCGATTCCAAGTTTGTACACATTACCATATTCTGTACATTAAATACAATAATCGTTCCAAAAAAGAAAGAAAAAAAAAAACAAATAATTCAAATATACCCTTCCATTTTGCTAAAATTTCACTAAAAGATTTAAAATTTAAAAAAAAAAAAAGTACCTGGTCAGTTCCAATTGAAATAACAGTTGATGTACGATGGGTGGGTGCTGTCTGTCTCAACACACTTTCCGTTAAATCCCATAAACATAGCTGCGTATCATGACCCACTGAACCAATTCTAAAAACATAAATATGGTATAAATTGTTAATACATATGAAAAACAATAAATATACGAAACTATTTAAAAACAAAAACCAAAAAAGAAACATTTGTGGAATCAATGAATCACTAATAAATTCACATTTTTTATAGATAAGTTGTAGGCTTTTTGGCATTCTGTCAATCAGTAAGATAGTTTTTACCTTACTTTTACTCTAACAAGATACCTGATTACAACAAATAATAAGCTATTGCAGTAAGCTTCTTAGAATCAAATCTCACATAATCCAATCAACTACGGATTAAGTAAAACATTTAAAAGATAAAGCCGAGTCTTTCGGGTTCTGTCCGGAATGAAAATGCATAGATGAACCTGTAAGTAACACCCATATTGGTATAAGCGCCACCGGTTACAGATAACAAAGAAAGAGAATCTTTCCGTGGTTGTGTTTGAACATTTGACTGCATTCCGCCTCGAACATTTGGCACCGAATTACCATCTGAAATATTCCTATTCATACCTAATTATTTTTACTATACACTGAATAAGCAACAGCAACTAAGCACATCGCTAAACTTGAAGTTAAACAATAACAAAACTGAAGTCAAAAAGTTCTAACAGAACTCTTCTGCAAAAAAAAAAAATCAATGCGCTAAAACTAAGAGTATTTATTAATACCACTGTATGTTTTATTACTCATAGCAATCATTGCAACTATTTTTTCAATTAATATTTTTTATCACACACTGATATTCTTCTTTCCGTTAAAATATTTAAAGTAATGTTTTAGGAAACAAATTCGTAATTAAAAACCGTTTGGAAAAACGAACTCGAATTTTTAAACGAAGATAATGGAACAGAGGTTGAAGTTGACTGCAGATCACCAAGAGATGATGGTCCATTGAACTGTACATTATTGATAAGTATACGATTTACTGACTGTGGAGCTGAACCTATTAAAACAGAATTTTTGGAATGTGTGATGAAGGATAATAGTGGTTAGACCTGTTGAAAAAGCAGTAATAAATATTTGTGAAACATTTAGAAAATATATTTTCATACAAAACTTGTAAAAGAGATGAACTTTTATGAAGAAGGTATCTTTTTTAACATCCAAAGCACTGATCCAATTAAAACCACATCAAGGATGCTTACTTCCAATATAATTTGCAAAATGTTTAAATCTCAGCACTTTTAAAGAAAGTAACAAACTTTTGAATAGCACATCATTGCTATTTAAATTTGATGGTTGCAAATCTTCTTCGGAACCAAGATCAACTGGAATACCTGAGTGACCGACGGTATCTGATCCACATGACGTATAAGGATCGAAAGCTACCTAAAATTAAAGTATTTAAAATCAAGCAAAATGTACTACAATCTCCTCTATGAGAACGTAATTTAAGTAACTAATCAAAAATCCGCAGTTCCATCACAGAATCAAAAACTTTCAGCTGGAGTTATTGATATTTCAAAAAAAAAAAAACTAAAAAAGAAAAATTATGGTGTATTTTTAAATGCTTAAAAACTTCAAAATATAGTTCTAACTTTAAAAGTTTCAAAATTACTTCATTTTCTTCAGTTATCAAAAACTCAGGAATTTTTCAGATAAAATTATGGCATTTTTTTCTTCTTTTTTACTGCTTCACATGTTTAAGATAAATGGAGAAAATGAGCAACCTACTTTAGAAATCCAACTTCTATGTCCTTGACCTCGACAAACAACTCGCTTCTCAACAACCGAGTAAACAGTTATCAAATCATCTTCACCGCCAGTAACAATGTATCGTGCATCGGGACTCCATGCTAGACAAAGTAATCCACCAAAATAGGATTTCATATAAGCCAGTAATTCCATTGTATGGTAATTGAAAATTCTCAAAAAACCATCCTAAAAAAATAAAATTAATGGAAAAATATTTTTTTTTATTAAATCTTAAAATTAGCGCACAATTATGAAGTGATCAGTGACATACAAATTCTAGGCTCGCATGTATAGTATCATATCAGTACGAAGATTTTACTGCGAAGATATATCAAATATTCATGATAGAATGTATACAGATCAAATACAATGCAGATAAAACAACTAAGCTCAAGTGAATGTGGTTCTAAATAAGTATATCATAACTTCTGACTTTGAGCTAATTTGTATGAATTATTAAATCCGGTCTTAAATAATAATTCCTTCTTCTTTTAACTAAGTGATTTTGTTTCGTAATGCAGATATGTTTTAAGTTCTTGGCTTTCACAGGTGAAGAAAATAACGGAAAAGACGAAGTAAATTAATACGATAGAA